CAAAACAGTGACTTGCATAAAGTGTACGCTCAGATGAGCCTCTATAGTGACGCAAAGATATGGCAACTCTGATCCGCTGTCCCGAACAGACGATGGTGACGAGATGAAGTTCCCTTTGTCATTCATCTCCGTGTGTTGAAGACAGTCTTCGGCAGTAACTAGTCACTAGTAATGCATTACCGGTAACTAGTTACTTCTTTTCAGTAACTTGTAACAGGTTTACCATTTTTCGAAAGTAACTGTAAAGAGTAATGTCATTAGTTACTTCTCAGATTTATGTGCAAAGACATTGCAAACACGACCACTAAATCGTCTCGCAACTCATGAGAGAGTCTCAAGTCCTAATACGGGAAGGGCGCAGCAAAAACTGCTACAAAAACCGCCTGAAGCACGAAAAAAAAAAAAAAAAAAGAAGCTTTGGATGACTTTGCTTGGCCAAGCTCAACCCGCCAACTGGGAGGATGGGGATATGTGTCCTTAACCACTGTGTATGGTGCATCACCCACAGCGCACGCAGATGTAACTAAGCACAGCGCCTCTAAAGCGTTTCTCATCTCTTCGTCCAGCGGAGGGAGCGCGCTTTTCACAGAAGACCGTTTTTAGGTTTTGCCGCCCCAAACACCTGATTTTCCCAGCCTCGTCATTTTGCCACCAAGCATACATTTCCTTGTCCTCCAATTCGAATCGTTCAACTCCTAGATGCACTCTTGTGGGTTCTTGAGCTTTGACTTTAGGCCAATTTATTCGCTCTGCTGTTGGGTCTCGTTCCTTGAGAAAGAGTATTCGCTAGAAACGTGTGTCGTCCTGCTTGTTTGTGTAGTTTCTTGAAATTGAAAGATCACCCTTAGTTGGGACCAGGGACGCTTGGCACCTGTTGATTTATAGATATTCACGTGGTGGGCCTTCAGGGTGGTCTCTCTTTTAATTGGGCTGAGGTGGAGGAGCACAAACGTGTTCGACCTGGTTGGGAAGTGGTGGAGAAAAGATGTGTACCTTATGGTGGTCGTGCTTACTACAAAATTCTTCGTGAATCATCGGAGGTATCTGCTAGCTTAACATTTCGAACAACTAAAGTTGCCTGTAATTTTGGCCAAGAGGAACTATAAATGCTTTATCATATGGTGGATTTACCCCAATACTGCCCTAAATTATGGTCGTGTTCAGGAATTATTCCTGGTAAAAATTTAAATACAAAGAGGCAAACATGTTAATATTGATTATTGGGAAAATTTTAGTTTCTCACAAAATATGATTCGCTACTGTAAACAGCGCAATGTCTTACCAAAAAAAAGAAAATCTATGCTAATTTAAAGGCACATTAAGGAAGGTTCTTTTTGAATGTTTTCTAAAATGTTTTCTAATAGTAATGGCATGACTTTAACAAAGTAACTGTAATAAGTTACTCTCATTTTTGGAACTAACTCTGAGTAACTAATTGTAACACTGTTACCTATTTGCAGTAACGTGCCCATGGCTGGTTGAAGAAGAGACTGAAGTGGCTTCTCACTAGGATAGCAGGCCTTGCACGGCACCAAGATTAATGCAAAGTATGTTTTTTTCTTCATTATAATTTTCAATATTTCAATCTCTAAAATAAATTTGAATTGACGAAAATCTTAGTAGCAAGTGTATTTTTCAGGGCTTACATCAAAGAAAACAGGATACACAGGGACTCCCCAACCCCCAGGAAACCTGCGTACAACCTAAATACTTGGAAGACGTATCTCAACGGATGAGACCAGCAAGAGAGATAAGGGGTGCAATTCCCAGAGAAAGTCGCAGTTCAATGTGAGGTGTATTCTGGGTCAACACATAGTAGAGCTGTAATAAGAGGTTTCTTTGAGTAAAACTTGGGCACTTCTTATTCAAAGTTTTTCGCTTTTCCCCAAAATCTGCCCAGGGAGTTTGTCGGTGTACATGTGAAAAAAACAAGGACCCAAAGTTAATTCCAAGCAAACTTCAAACATTACTGACAGTTAGCAACTTCGGTTTCACCAGAGTAGTTAAGATGTGGCGCCACTCGTGTTGAAATGTCCCTTAAACACCTTCTTTCAGTCCTGGACAAGACTGCTGGTGGAGGGTAGGCCAGGGACAGCTGGTACACAGCCCCGGCTAGCCTGTTGCCAAACTGAGGGTGAATACCTAGTTGCCTAAGGCCGCTGGCAACGAGAACTTTCTCAGGGCGACGCGCCACGGAACACCCGTATTGGCAAAAAATATGTTGACCGGAGCGTCAGGCGGCTGTGAATGCCACCTACAACGATGGGAACTGTCTCCCAACTTAATCTGAACCATGTCGCATCGGCACCTATTATCTCATGATGTACTACAAACCTCACCCTTCCCTGTTTTGACCCACTATTTTTGCCACGATGTAGCTACCATCAAATACCGACCATCCGCCTGTTCAACAATAAGCGGCCCACCCCTCGATTCTGTAGCATTCGGAAAATACACGAAGGACATATCTTTAGATATTCGGCATAAAGAGCGCTCATTCCCCACTGTTAAACAATTATCTCCAAATTTTTAGCAGCTTGCTTAGCCTATTTGGGGCATGTGAAACATATAAGCTTGAAACTGCCCTAAATATTATGACATCATACATCGAGAGTTTCTGGTAGAGCACTATACCTGTACCTATGCCATCCTTATTTCGAGTGTAATGATTTTACTTTTACAGATTTCCTTCACACTGGCAGTAAAGCTAGAGCGTTTTTCGCACAGGCAAGTAAGTGAAACACGCTTGTGTACTGTTTTATAAGCAATGAGTACAGAGGAAAGCTATGAAACACCTACATAGCTAAGCAGCACAACGTCTCGGAGCTTTATAAATAGCTTGTACTGGCGTCATATCAGCGGCCATTGTGAAGGGCCTTGATGCTGCGCGTGTACCTTCTACAGCGTACATTCCGCATCACCCTATTTGCTTCTTTCGGCAAAAAAAAAAGTAGGCATGACCATTGGTACGATGATATCACACGCGAGCCGTGTTTGTGTGACAAATGGCAGGAGGCCAGCATTTGAGAACAGTGAACCTCAGGGCAGAGTTTTCGCAAGCAATATTCATATGTAAAACCCGAGACAGGACAAAAAAAAAAGCAAAAAAAGGGGACAAACCTGTGTCTGTGTTGTCCCCTTTTTTCTTCTTCTTTTTTTGCCCCAAGTCTTGGATTTTACGATGTTGAAAGTTCACCAGCTTGCTTGCATCTTCTCTGTAATTTCTATAAAGGACTTGCTCGGTACAGCCGTGCTGGACAACAATCTGAAGATCCATGCCCAAGCTCCCAATACCAAAGACTTTAAGAGCATCCGTGTTCACCCATGCGAAATGAAAGGTAGATCTACATTAAGACGACAGGCTGGGCTAGTTGGTTACTCATCACTGCATAATAAACTAAAAAAAACAGAAAACAAAGAAAGACCTGGAGAGAACATAAGGCAGCTTTCAACTTAATGATTTATTTTGGAAAAAAAAAGATATATGTATATATATATATATATATAAACAGATAAAAACAGACACGTGCTGGCAGAACATCGCAAGATAAGCTCTAAACACACTCCCTCAGAAACCAGCGCCACTGGCTCTGTCGACAGTGGCATTCATTGTCAGGCAATGGCAATGGGGGTGTGCTCACACAAGAGTATTTACCATGGGATTTTATCAAGGCCGAGTGAATTTCACTAGCCATTTTCGTTTGTTCAGCACCAAACAAACTTTCTACACTGTGCAAAAAGATAAGAGGAGGAACCGGCTGTCCCGCGAAGGACCTGCAAAAAAAAACCACATGTGGTCGCGCGGCTAGCATCGCATACAAAGTCCCGTCAAGTGGAAATGTGTACGTGGGCCAGACGGGGAAGTGCATCCATGACAGGGTCAGAGAGCATGCGTTAATAAATATGCAGGCCCAGTCTGGGGTTCACTGCGACCGTTCTGCATGCAAGCCAACTTTGAAAAGGCCAATGTCATGTTGATAGAATTGCACGATAACAACCCTTGTGTGAGTGCACCCTTATTGTTATTGTCCGACAAAGAATTTCACTATTACAGAGCCAGTGACGCTGGTTTCTGAGAGTGTATTTAGACCTTACCTTACAGAGTTCTGCCAGAACGTGCAAAACAAACCATTCAGTTGAAAGTTACAGCTTGTCCAGTTCAACTCTTCCTTCGTTTTGTCGACTTTTTTGTTTGTACTTTTTGCGTATTATCTGGTGTCAGTTGAAAGTTAGTTACAGAAATTTATCCGGTGAAAGACAGATCACCTGTTTGCGCAAACAGCTGCACAATGCCGCGAAAAAACAAATAAAAAAAACATGCATATCTTGATTATAAGCAATAAACGGCTCGACCCTGCGGTCGGCGTTATCCACAAGCGAGTCGATAACACGAGAGGTAGATTCGTTCGTCGTGACAATTACACACGGCTGCCTCAATGCCACGATGGTGCCGAAAACACGTCGTTATTATTTTTGTTTTTCAATCTGAAATGTAGCCTTGGTTCCGAACGCTCAACGCGTAGTAGCTACGGTGGCGGGGGATTTCCTCTCTGTGCAATGGTTACACTTTCCAACCGTGTATACACCTACACTGAACCGCTGGTGATTCAGCAAGCGGTAGTCACGTCGGGCCGAAAAGCGTCGTCCTGGCAGCTAGCCCTTCGACAACGAACGTAACGTACCTTCCTGCAGAGTACGTCCAAAGTAGCGTTTCAAGGAAACGCGTGACGACGATGCGTACTTGGAACGACGGTCCGGAACTCCGAAAGGCCACCGCAGATCACGATGGAGAACGATGGAGAAATCGCATACGTGCCCAACCAATTGTCGCAAAAACGTCGCGGGTTGTGGTAGGCGAACTTCAGCGGTTCGATTAAAGAAGAGTGCTGAAGTAATCAACGGGCACTGCGAAGCGCACCGCTGTTTGTTGTGGCCACAAGCCAAGGCCACCCGCGAAGTTAGGCTTAAAATTGTCGGGATTTCGCATCTTTTTCGCTCACTTGATTTTGGATTCTTGGGTTCTCAGAGGAATTAACGTCCCAGCGATGATGCTTCCATGAGCTGTCGATTTCTAGGGGCTTGCGTCTGGCGAACCGACCTCTTTTGTGCCTGAACACGCTTCCTCAAAGCCACAATAACACGGACCATCACACAACTTCCAGCCGCACAAAACACTCGCAAAGTCTCATAACAACCACGTGATATCATGTGACAGCCGCTCCATGCTCCATCGGCCTCGTTTTAGCAGTTTCGCATAAAAAAAAATATTTTAGATATAATAATAATTTATTTTTACCCAGGTGGGTGGCATCTTTACTTAATTTGATTTTATTTGATGCTTGAATTAATCTAACAATACAGTTCTACAAAAAAAAATTATATCGTATTTGTTGTGTAGGGGGCGGCAGGTACGCGACTGACGTCTGATGGGATGGAAAAAAATCGCCAACTACGCCAACTACGATTTACTATCGTTGCATCATTGATTGTAACGGTAGGATTTACTTCGTCGTGTTGTTTCGCTTGTGTTGGGTTCTGCGGTTAGTGTGAGCATTGATGTGCAGCTTCCGCGAGAACTACAGTGTGCCTTTTGTATTGTGTGTACTACCTTCATGCACTCGGATATCCTCGTTGACGAAGTGTGCGCGTGAACGTCGGTGGTCGTGCGTCGTTTGAGGGCTACGGACGAGGGCACGAGGGTCGGTGAGAGCTCGGCACGCTTTCGGAAAGTTATGTCAATGCCATTCTCTACCTCTCACCTCGTTCCTCCGTCAGAAATTTCCGCGAATGACAGTTATTTCTTGCCCAAAACCTAACTCTCGCGACAAACCGTCGCATCCCATTCACTATCGTTCGATTATTTTTGTTTTTCCTTTGGGTAATTGGGCGGTTTGGGCTGTACGCAATTTCGTCATCGGAGTATCTTGTCTCGAAGGGCATCCGACGACTGATCTTTGCCGTCCGTCGAGCGAACCAAAAACACGGACCGAACAACGGCAAACATGTCAGCGGACGCTAAGAACGTGGTCGGAGCCGACGACGACGAGAGCATGGAGTCCGTCGAGCGCAACTTGGTCGTCGACCACGAGTTCGCCACCGAGTCCAGCGCGGAGACTGTCGTCGAAAACCCGCTCGAAACCCAACCGGAGACCTCGTGGAACCAGCTCTACTACGGCGACGATACCGTCGACGGCACGCCGCTCGACGATTGTACTCCGACCAGAAAGCGCGGCGGCGGCGTCGACGGGAGTCGAAGCGCCGACGACACCGCTGCGGCGGGGGATCGGAGCGCGTCGGAGGACCACGGCTCGACGTCGGACGCCTCCAAGCGCGGCGGGGCGAACGCGCCGGCCGAAAACTCTCAACACGGGGACGAGGATTCGGCGGGTGCGAGGCGGTGGTGTAGCGAGACATCCAACGACAAATCGGACGCGGACAGCTCCGGCACTGGCAGCACCAGCCGTCGGAGGCGTTCCCGTCTCGCTCCCGTGTACGCGCCTGGCACGCGAGTCGAAGCGAGGGACTTCCAGCAGCTGCAGTGGTGAGTGGTGCTCCCAAAAAGAGCCTCGTTGACGCGAGCTCCGCTGCCCAAAGTGCTCCCTGCTTCGTGGATCTCGCGTGCGAGCTCCAGCGCCCCGCACTGCAGCATCGCTGGCTCGCCGCGTTATTTCGGCGAGTTCGCTAACACTAAATCGCGACAAAGAAGAGGGGCTGCAAATCGTCGGAGGACGCCCCGACTTTTTCCCATTCGAAGTGGGTAAGAAGTCCGAACCCGTGTTAGCGTAGTTAAATCTGGGCGGCGAGAGTTTCTTCGGTATTGTAGAGTTACGGCTCTGCAGCGTCTTGGGAGGGGAAGTTTCAGCTCTTCGTTCGCGTGCTACGTGGGCGCCCGTCTTTCTCGATTGTGCCAGATTTATTTTGAGCTTAATAGTAGTCTAGGTTAGGGTAGGAAGGAGTTCTCTTTGACCCCAGCGGTGCTTCGCGTTAATGTTTTCGTCAAAGGGAGCGCAGTTTGGAGTTGTGTCGTTCTCGGAGCTTCTCTTTTCACCAAGTTCTCTCTAAAACCCCCTCAGCTACGACCCCGAGTTGGCTCTGGTCTAAATTAAGATACGGGAGAGATCGCTAGTCCGAAAGCGCTACATGTCTACTGACCGTGCATAGACGAACAGCGGGATCGACGCCCTCGGTGCGAGGTGACCTTTGGCACCTCGCTACGTTCGGTTTTTGCGGTTGAGGATGCTGATCAGGCAGGCAGGCTAGGCAGGAAACAAAACCACAATCAGTGTTGCATCCCACTGCTTAATAGTTTAAAATCAAGCACTGGCCTTACCCCAAACTGCCAGCGTGCTCCAGAACTTTTGTGCACCTATACGACTTTGTGTATAACGCTTGAATGTAAAATTGCCCAGTCCCGAATTGTTCGGAATGGAGTGGGGTTACCTTTTAAGCGATATGTCGTTTGTCATCCAGAGTTGACGTTGTGTGCGACACCCTCGAAGTGCAACTTACGATGGTCAAGTCTTACCTTGTGTTACAACGTTCAGTATTACGTCTGTGCGAGAGACGTTGATAAAAAAAAGTTATATTAGTTGTTCGAAACACTGCGGTAACACGAAGACGACAGCGGGTAGCTCCATGCATGGGTGGAAGCACTGTGCCATTGTGCACCAATCCACTTTCGCTGTGCCACCCTGCTCCCAAGTCCAAATGCTGCACCAGAACTTGCAGAAAAAGATTTTTTTTAGTCGCTAAATTTATTGGAGTACTCTTGTTTGCTGGCCACTGTGGTTTGCAGAGTTGCATTTGTTTAAATAATTCTAAACCAATGTTTTAGAACCACCATACCGATGGGATCATGTCAGTATCAAAGCAGGCGACTCTCGTTTGATAAAAACGGGTGCCAAACACCCATTTCCTTCTAAGGAGAACAACCACGATTTATTCCGTCCCATATAAATAGACATGGCGTTGCGTTTTATTTTGTGGTGTTGTGTTGAGCCGTCAAGCGCCAGCAGCATGAGGGGGCAAGTAGATCCCTTATTTGTTGTTTGGAAATATACTGTATTTGGACGAACATGAGCAACACGCAATAAGAGCATTTATTTCCATTGCCTGTACCAGTGCCTTTGAAGCACTTGTTTGGGCGCTTTGCTTTGTGCCGTCAGTGCCGCAGCACGGCCAACAACGGTTTTGTCTGATCTCCGAAAATGGGACATGCACACGTAGCTTTGTTAGCAGTACTTGGGCATCAGTTCGTCTTTTAGTTGTAAATTCTTGCGGAGTGCCGCTGAATGTGGCCGCGTGCATTTGAAATACGGCACTCATTAAATCGCATATACAATGATGTGATTGCTGCTCCAAACTGCGCCAAGGGGCTAACCCTGCTAACTACATCCTGCTACATTTCGCCAAAATATGGGTAATCTGGTGAGACGGCTTTCCCGCCGTCTCACGTTTCGTGCTCTCGTCGCCTCGTAGGTCTCGTCTCGCGTCTTTTTTAAAAATATTTTCAACGATAGACGCGGGTGTGTGCGGACGCTTCGACTCTAGCGTGCCGGGTACCAGCCATGCGGTCATGTTGTGGACGAAACCATGTTTTTGCGCGGCGGGAGTTACGTTGTGAGCTAAAGCACTCGCTCCTTAAAGCAATGGCCGCGGGAAAACTACATTTGATCCCTGCCTTCCAGTCCCCGTGGTCGTGCAACGTCGGGTGTTGCCGTCCCCACGTCGATGCAGATATGGCGCTTTCTAAAATGAAACTAAGTACCGCAGCATGTTCATCAACATTCCATGTTCTTGTTTAAATGATACATTACTATAAAAATCCCTCTTTAACTCAAAGACTGCTGTGTCGAAGTATTGATTACATAGGTTTCTCTCGGTGGGCTTTCTTTCGAGTGGGACCCCGGTACGTGCAAAACTCTGCTGCGAAAGAAATTTGGTGAAGAGAAGTGAGCTAAAACAAAGAAGGCAATGTATGCACAATGAACCAGCACAGCGCGTTTGTTTTTCTCGAGTTCAGTCGCTGCACAAAGTGCTCCAATAACGTTTTGACCCTGACTCGCAATGTCTTGCATCGATGCGCTCAGGCTCTTCTTTTTTCTTTTTTTTGTATGGGTTCACCTTGTACCTTGTTTGCTGGCCTGGCAAGCATGAGCCGCTGGAGTGTTTATGCCGTATACTCGACAGTTACATTTTGCATATAATTTTGGGAATCAGCTGGCGACGGAGCGCTGTGGCATGGTTTTGGTTTTGATCGAACAGCCGTTGTCTCCGCTCGCGCGACAAAGCACGCGCAACAGCAAGCCTGCCGAAGTTGCCGTCACATGCATGCGAACATGATTGCACGACAGAGGCACAAGCCGGGACCCTTGCAATCCATTGTTCCACGTTTGTTTACTTCTGACAAAAATCTGGCTCGTCGGGAAACAGTAAAACAGTGGCAAGTGATTTTTCGGAATTGCTCGGCAATGCCTACAGCACTGTACACTTGTGGGTTGTCTCAGCAGTAAAACGACAAGCAGCGAGTTTCGTCACAACAAGTCACATCAGAACAGAACACAACATAAAGTGTCCTTCGTTTGTGCTGCACTCAAAACGCATCTTTTTTCTAAGAATACCTGCTCCAAAAGCCGCTTTTGCTACTCCGAAGCATTGTTTTGGCTGCTCCAAAAACCACTTGTGCTGCTCCAAAACACTGATTCGTTGCTCCAAAGGCCACATTTGCTGCTCCAAAACACTGTTTTGGCTGCTCCAAAAGGTGCTCCAAAATGACTTAGGCCAATCACATCAGTGCGTATATATAAACATAACTAGGAGCATGCTGACGCACGCTTACCAATAATCTATCTCCGGAAAGCGATAATTACTCAATAAGGTTAAACAAATTTTTGCTTGTTTAGGGTGTCTGCCTTTGCCGAGGCCTTTTCCGTGCTCTTCATTCTTGTCGTAAACTTGCCGATAAAAGTGATAATTGGTTGCGTCATCTGTATAGTTCCTGTCTTGTAAATGATGTAGAGGCAAATACACGCTCTGGCCATTGAACAGCAAGCCAGCAGGAGGACAAGGTGAACAGTGGGAATGCCCTGCTGAGCGACGCAAACTCTAACTGTTGTGCTAGAATGCACCCAAGCAATTGTCTTCTGAGAAAATCATTCCGTTTTGTGGTCTTACTTGCTAATTTTGTTAGTCACATTTTTTTTATCAAACCCCTAAGCAAGCTTTTGTTTGTTTTAGTAGGGCTTCAGCAATGTATGTATGAGCAGGAATGATATTATAAAGTTTTTAATATTTTCTGTTTGTACTGTTATCAGATAGAGTAGAATCATACTCTGTTAACTTGAGTACTGGAATTTATTTGTTTGCTAAGCAGACCTTGAACATTTGTATTTTCTGTTGATGAAAAGTAGTCAGTAAGGTCTGGGCTTTATTTCAAACCAAACTGTTGCATCTTGAACTGGTTTTGTTTTCAGTAGACCTATAAAAATTGCGATATGGGTTGTTAAAGAGGCACAATGTATTGTTTTTATGAGGGACTATGCCTTTCATCGGAAATCCATAAAAGAAACCAACTGCTACCAGGACAGTTCTCAGTAGCTGCCATTCATATAAATTGCAATCATGCTGCTTGCTTTTGGTGCTGTGGGCTGGATTGTATTTAAGGGGGCACTGACAGGGTATTTATACTTGCCAACGTTTTTATCTGTACATGACATTTGTGAGCCCAACTTACCAAAACACAATTTGTGGCTCGAAATTCGTTTTCTTTCTGCCCGAAAACTGCCGATCGAGAACTGGCTGGTTTGAGTCGCGCTCACTCTCTTCTCCGTGGTCACGTGCCGTTTTTTAAGGTTTAGACATAACCATTAAATATAATCATAGTCATGGCTCATTGAACGCAGACCCTCAATGCTAAAAATAGATAAAAAATATTATATTCATTTTTGTGGCCTGTACGTTGCAAATACCTTAAAGGGATGCTGAACCAAAATTTGTATTCTACAAAACTCGCGGTAAAAAGCTTGCAACGGGATGCTACGAACACCAAAACATCACTCGTACAGCGAAATCTCGAACGGATGACCGTATTTTTCTAAAAAAGGAGGCCCATTTGACAGAAATGTTCACATCATGTTTCTCAAAGAAGGAGAGGGAACGGCCTCGCGTCTTTTCCGCCTCGCCGCCTTGAGGAGGCGAAGTGAAGAGAAGAGGAAACTAGGTATCTTCACGTCACGCGTCTCGTCGGCCTGGTTCAATCTCGACCTCTTTTTCCCAAAATATGGCCGCCCATTCGAGATATTGCCTTACAAGTAGTGTTGTAGGGATTGTAGCATCCCGCCTACATCTCCTGCACTGTTTTTTCTGAAATCCAGATTTCGGTTCACCATCCCTTTAATAAAAAAAAAAAAAAAAGTTCACTGCCATTTGGTTTTTGGTAACTTTCTCCTCCTCTATATTTCTTCTTCCTCCCCAGTCCGGTTTCGGTATCGAGCAGTTGCATTTTTTTACTTTATTAAAAATATATGTGACGCTGTATAGTCAGCTGCAACTCAAGAAGGTGGGGCGAGTGTAAGACGGGCCGGGGAGGAGGAAGCAGACGAAACGCTAAAAAGAGGAGGAGGTTTCCCCCCTTCTTCTCCAGCATTCCGTCTGCTTCCTGCTCCCTGGCCCTTCTTAGCCTCGCCCTACCTTCTTGAGTTGCAACGAACTATACACCAACTCAACTCTGTGACGTCACGGCGCGGTGGTGGCGCGTCGGTCGCACTTCCGGTCTGGGGCTGTGGGCAGAAGTCCCCATGCCAGACGTGTATTCCTGGGTTGTTTTGAAAGGAGCCAGACAAAAACCTGCCTTCTCGTCAAAACGCCGCGACTGGGGCCGTACCAAAAGTGTCGAGAAAGGTTTGAAGGTCAGTTTTCACGTGCTCGGTTTGTCCGAGAATCTGGATGTGTGCCGTGAAAAGGGAAAAGCAGACGCCGTCGGACAACAATTGCTTGGGCGGGAAGCACTTTGGGTTGAATTCACGGATACTTGTGTTCATCAGATTTATTTGTTTTGTTCCAACATGAACGCCAGAAAACCGTCAAGTTGTGTGGACCCCCTGTGGACTACGTTCAGTGCGTCTTCTAGTTCAAACGGCCGCCTGATTGTTCGAATTGTCGTCTGCTCTTTCAAACGTTTCTGCTTGTAGTCTGCTCTCTTAGACGACGCCGGTCCGTAGACCAAATGTTGGCCCGATACTTGTGATAAGAAGTGAGTGAAGGCCTCAAAAGACTTAAATTTGAAGGTTGGTAAGCAGGCTCGATGTAAACAGTAGATACAAGGAGATGTTGGTCATTGTTACCAGTGACCAACACCGACTTGTTATGCCTAATTCCCTTGGTCCGATTCTGTTTCCGATTTTCAGTATCATCGTCGACCATCTCAGCTGCGGTTCACGCTTTTGCAGCCCGAGCGGCGTCGCGACTGAAAATTTTGAGCGAAATCTCATCATGCGAATCAGGCTTTAGCGTACAATCTGCGGCGTCCACGCGGAATGAATCGCCACATGTCACATTATTCATGCGAAGTTTTACGGTGTAACGAGCCTCGGTAATTTCGCTGACGCCGCTCAAGATAGTCAGACATCGCCAGGAAGACGTACAACCAACAATTCGAACGCAAAAAAGGGCAGGGGGACTCACACCGACGCTGACGACATCGCATTTCAATGGTTTGTTTATGGGCGACGGCGAGCTTTTTGCCCACACCCCCATCGCGCATGCGCGGCGCCGGTGGCGTCCGCTAGGGGCGCTCCGGGCGCTCCGGTTTGTTTGTAAACATGAGTTGGTGTATAGACCGACACCCTGTTTACAAACAAGCCCGCGTTTGCCCACACCAGGTGTGGGCACTGCGCGTGCGCAGAAACATAATTCGGGAGGAGTGAATCGTTTGCGCATGCGCAGTGCCGTCGGCAGCGCCACCGCAGCTTCGTGACGTCAGGGCCGCGTGTTGGTCTATAGCAAAATATTGATAGGGTAGTCTTCTGACACCATAATAGATTGCCTGGGAAAAATTAAAAATATATTTTGATGGGTGTCATTGTCCCTTTAAACAGACGCTGAAAAGCAAAACATTGTTCTTTTTTTAGCAGTCTGGTTGAAACATACGTGTAAAAAAATCGATTTTACGTAAGAAAAGATCTTTTGGAGCAAAATTGATGGCGCAAGACGCAATTTGGTTGGCAGTCACCTCTTTTCCACTTGTTTTCTCTTGGCATTTCGAGTGCGTGCAGAAGGGGTGGATCGGCTTGGCCATCACGGTAAGGTGGAGGGAGTGTATGACCATATGTTGAGGTGGAAAGAGTTTATGACCATTTTGTGGCGTCGTGGACTTAGCGCGCAGAATTTGAAATAAATCTTGCAACCAGACTGTTTAAAAAAAAGACATACTTTTCTTTTCAGTGGCCCTTTAAAGGGTAAATGCAAAGAAAAAAAAGTTTTTTTAAACAGCCTCATTAAGACAAGCATGTGATGAAACAAATTTTCCGCGAAAAAAAAATTTTTTCTAGCAATATTTACGCCACAGGACGTAATTTAGTCGGGGTCACAACTTCTTTACATTTAAAACTCCCACTCTTTCTATGCGCGCGGAGTGGCTGTTATACGTCTCTGCTTGACGTATAACAGCCACTATGTGACGTATAATACCAACTTTGTGGCGCACTATTTAAAACGGACGAAATAGCCTCAAACTAAAATCAGTCTCGCGCAATCAATATTGCTGTAAAAAATTTTGTTTTTGGCAGAAAAATTGTTTTGTGACATGCTTGTCCCAATTAGGCTGTTTAAAAATACACTTTTTTTTTTTTGCAGTTACCCTTTAAGGGAGAGGTACGTTTGGAAATACTGCCGAGACCGGTTATCACGAAGTCAACGGGAATTGGAAATCCCTTCGCTATATCCGCTATTTTTTTATAACCGACTTCGGTTAACAATGTGCAAAAGGGAATGAGAAATCGTGATCGCTTCGTTGTAGCCGCTATTTTATTATAACTGACTTTGTTTTAACTCAGCTGTAGTTCTGGACCGTCACATGGAGATACTTTTTTGTTGCGCTATTTTTCTATTTAGAAAAGTATGTCTGCACTTGGAGCCACATGTTTGACCTAGGTGTCCAGCTTCAACATTTACTAGTAGTGGTACAAAACCCAACTCTGGCAGCTCCTGAGCTGCTACAAACAGAATTTTCACTGCTCCAAAGCTGCTTCAGGAGGGCACTTTTGCTGCTCCCCAGACTTGCTACAAAAGGCTGAAGCTCGCTTCCGTCCCTGCTTATTAGTCACTTAACTCCATGCATAAATGAATGGTGAGTTGACCAACAGGCATGAAACCTGAACGCGTGCAAGATGCACAAATTGGAAAGAAAAACATTTGCAGCGCTTTAAAGAAGTTGTGCTATTATAAAACATCCAGAAACAACACTTTTTTTTTTTTTTTAAAGGTCACTGACAACCCTTGAAATATATTTTTTGTTAGGCGATCCATTATGGTATCAGAAGACTACCCAATCAATATTTTGCTACAGCGTCATATTTTTAAGAAAATAAAAAAAAGTGCAACTGCTCAAAACGGAAACTGAAACTAGACTGGGGAGGAAGAAGAAATATAGAGGAGGAGAGTGTTGCCGGAAGTCACGTGACTGTGCTACTTTTTTTTTCAAACAACATATTTGCACCTTTTTAGACACCACAAAAGATGGGTACCATATTTTGTTTCTATTTTTAATATTGAGGGTGTGCCTTCAATGAACCACGACTTTGATTACTTTTGGTGTTTGTGTCTAAACCATAGAAAACGGCATGCGACTACAGAGACGAGAGAGTGCGACTCAAACCGATTAGATCTTGAAAAACAATTTTCATGTGGACAGAAAATTAATTTCGAGCCGCAAATTGTTTTCTGGGTAGTTGGGCTCTCCTATGTCATGTGCAAATGAAAACCTTGGCAAGCATAAATAACTTGTCAGTGTCCCTTTATTGTCTTAACATTGCCTCGAACGTACTCTAAAACCCTCAGATTTTTGTCTTCAAAGCTCGTACGAACCCCGTAAACACAGCGGTCAGACTCATTCTAAGCACCATACTCATACTGCGGAGCGGTTCGCAGCGCCCTCGGTAACGGTCTCCCCCCCCTGCAGGTACCCGGCCAAGGTGGTGACCTTGGACGAGGGTGAGGAGGAGGTGCTGGTGCACTTTGAGGGCTGGAGCTCCCGGTATGACGAGTGGCTCCCCCTGGACAGCCCCCGGCTGCGGCCGGCCACGCACCCCCACACCCGCAAGGAGCAGCTCAAGAAGCAGGCGCCCAGGAAGCCCGTGGGTTGCACGTCCTACATCCCTTCTCACTCTCTCTGTCAGGGAGGGTAGTGCATCCTACACTCACTGGTAGGATGAGGACAGCAGGGAGGTGCCTAAGGTGTCCTGCCTTCGGTGTGAGCCTTCCATCCGATGGCACTTTGGCGTCTTGTGAACCATGGCAGAATGCAGCGAGCACGTGCCTGAGGCAAGGAGCTCAAAATACACGCCCTGCTGTTTTTACCTTGTCAGTGATTGTAGGTACGGTCATGTCTCGTTAACTCCTTAAGTACCATATTTTTATTTTCCTCTAGTATTACACATAAAATTTGAAAAGTTTATTACGCGAAAATCAGCGTAGACGAAAAAAATATTTGCCAACTAACACGAGTGCTGCCATCTATGATCAGCGCCGCAAAACTACTCCGACGAGCCTAGCTCGTCCGTGGAATTAAGGGTAAAACCACTGGACAAGCTGAGCTCGTCCACGGCACTTTTAGCCAGAAAGTGGCCGACGAGCTTGGCTCGTCCAAGGCTGTTAAGGGGTTAATGTGGTTGCCTCCGTTGACCCCCAAAAATCGTCCGTAATACGAGTTGTTCATGAAAACGAATTGAGGTCAAGGTCGCAAATAATGAACTCTAATCACGGCCACAAATACATGAATGTGACTCGAGCGCATAGACTCCAGTCGTCCTAAGAACGAAGCCGATACACTGAAGCGTTTACGTGGATGCTTATCGAATCCTGTGCGAAGGTGTTGCCACGCCGCATATCTCAAAGTTAACGCCGTGTTTCTGGCACCATTCGCATCACTTGACTACGTTTCAAGGTGTTTCATGCGCAGAGGTCCTCTCGATGACAGTAATGGTATTGACCACTGCGTTCGATGCTGTGCAAGAAGTTACGAGACGCAAGAAACTTCAAAACCTGAGCATTTTGGACTCCGGTCCGGTGCACCCTGGAACATGAGACTACGTAGGTGTGCACGCCCCCGGTGTGTGGCAGTCTCCAAGCTCTCTCGGGACAGCGCCGCGCTCGCCTTGCCGGACCACGGCAACCACGGCTGGACCGAGAGGTCGAGGGGCTTTGGCACAATCGGGATAGGCACCAAGGTGGGGGGCCGCTCGTTCTGCGGTACAAATGCTCGGAGATCTCGGCGCCATTGCTGCTTGCAATGTGCAAGATGTGAATCCCAAGTCCTAGACAGGGGCTAACCTCACCGAACAGTTTGGGTACATTCTATTTGCAGATTTGGAGCGCTTTAAAAGCGCCCCTTTTGGAGCGTGCATCTTCCGCTGGCAGTTCCGACTTAAGTTGGCCATCTTCCGTTCGTAGGTTCGTGGCAGTGTCCACCCCGCAGAGCGCCTCCAACCCCGCCGAACTTGATCGCGGGATTTCACGGAGCTTGGCGGAAGTTGACAGAAGCATGCTACGTCATTTCCTTCGATTCTGCTGTGCACATGTGCAATGAGGTTGCCACACCGGCCAAGTCGTCGAGTTGGATCTGTTCGGATGCGTCGGTTGTTTACACGGGATTGGGATGGTTCGAACGCTTCTACCTCGTGCAGATCAGGGGTACAAAGCTGGGACTGTAGCGTGGCAAATCGTAAGCGCTGACACCTGTGATCCTGAGGAGAAGAACGAGAAAAATAACGACGAAAACTTTGAAGGAGGCTGACGGCAAGTTTAGGCCTGTTCAGTTTGTGGCCAATGATTGTTTACCTTTTTACATTGCATGCTGTGGGCATTTTCTCACGTAATAAAGCAAGAACAGATGAGGCAACGACCGTGCAAGTGATGCTTTGTTACCTCTTTGCGTTTATTAAAGACTTACCAGCAATCTGAGCTCCACTGATGGCGATTGCCGTGTTTGCGGCTCCGCTTCAGGACTGCTGAAAGGTATGTGACAATGGCGAACGCTGACGTCTTGCTCGTTATTTGTGACACGGGCTTTGTGGTACGGAGAGTGCGCCCGGCCCGTATTGCCTGTTGTTTCTGCAGCTAAGCGGCGACAGTAGTGACTGGTCGTCGCAAAGCTCAGTTGACTAAGGCATTGGTCGGCTCGTCAAGTTTGAGCAGCGGCCGTTTTGACCGGCAGCCTGTCTCGAGCGGGTTGCTCCAAAATTGCGAGTCCATCTTCCGCTCGTCAATTGGGAGCGGGTCTCTCGGAGCGGATTTTCGCCTCCCTCGCGAATTTTTGAAAGCGCTTCGGACCTACCAAGGGAGCTCCCCATTGCAGTGGCAAGAAAATCCTCGTTTCTCATCAGGACAGAATCGGGACCGTATCCGGTAACCACCCCACGCCGCCGCCTGCGAGATGGAGCGCCGCCGTGCTCCCTGCTGTTCACCCACTCTCGCAGCGGGTGCCTTCCTATAATCCCTCCCGTTTCGGAATTCGAAGCCACCTCTATTTACGCTGGCAGTACGAATGCACACTCGCTGTCTCAATCGTACTCAGTCTAGCGACTTTACGCGATGCTTTTCCACACAGAAGCATTTCTGCTTTCGTGGGCCTGTATGCTATCTTATGTGTTTTTTCTTTTCAGTAAATAAGCTATTATTATTATTATTACTTCCCTAGTGCATCGTGCCGTTTGCATGACCGCATTGAATGCGATAACTGGAGTCTATGTGCTCAAGTCACCTTCGTGTAAACGTGGCTTGTGAAGCTTTTGCTTCTGGCCTGCTGTGGACTTACTTCCTCAGTGGTGAGAGAAGTGCCCTACCTTTACTTTTATGCACAAGGGGTACGCTTGACCTATAAAGAAAATTTTGTGTTTTTGAAGTTCCTTCTTTTGCTGGAAATTCGAGGTTTATCGAAGGCAAACCCTTTTTGTCAGTAGTTCGAGACTTCAAAGAAAACTGAAGTTGCATCTCCTCTAGACTACCGACCCTGCGCTTTTATAAAACTAACTAAAAAAAAGTTTTTATTTTTTATTTTGTTGTAACCTCAAAATTTGGATAAATCCAAATCGACAAAAAAGTTATTGGTGAGTGTTTTTCGGATTGATCCGCAAACACAGAGCCCTACCTATAAATGGACTCAAGGTTTGTTTTATGCGGCCATAACACACATAGCGAGAGTAAGGTGGGAGCTTAGTTCCGCCGGAGAGCGCCAAAAAATTGAACCGTTTTTTGGTGCCCAAGTTTTATATCCTTCATAAAAAGGGCAACGAGATTGGTTATAACGGAATAGCAGCTGCAGCGAGGCGATTACGATTTCGTATTCCCTTTTGCATTTTGTTAACCGAAGTCGGTTATAACGAAATAGCGGATATAGCGAAGTGATTTCCGATAACCGTTGACTTCGTTATAACCGGTCTTGACAGTATTGAAGCTCTGAGCGTGTTCTATGACACGAGGGCTTCACTAGTTCTTTTTCTTTGTGCTGGTAGGATGTCTCTAGAAAGCTGCGTTTCCAATCCTTACCTCCTAAGCAGAGCTTGTTTAGTGCTTGGGATCATTACAACTTGGTCGACCGCTGATTTCGTCTTAGACATTCAACCTTCAAAAGGGGCAGTAGCACTTCTCAGAACAATGACGGAGAGTAAGCATACGCTTTCGTGCTCAGAAACATTGATTGGTTCTTCATTCTTAACCCTTTGCGGTCAGACACCTTGACCAAACTCACGGTGTTTCCGGTGTGAGAAATGTTTTTTTAAAAATAGATCGGAGGAAATATAAATTGCCCCCGCACACAAAAGCAACATGAAAGATTTATTTTTGCAGTGTTTCTGCTTTCTTACTATCTTCTAGTAAAACTTCTGCAAGGTGCGATGCTTTGCAAAGCATTCTCCAGGGGCCACAGTCCTGTGCACTCCCTTCATCTTTGTCACTAACATTGCTGCACTCTGCAGGGGATGTGCCCTCGTCATAAGGAGGAGGCACATAATTGTCGTTACCACCGAGATTGCCCCCATATTCAACGAAATCCCGCAACAAGTTTCTATGAAATGTGTGTGGCAAAAACAAAGCCATTCTTTGTCGTGCCATTGAAATTCAAAGTGCTCTTGAGTCTTCCGCTCGCAAACAGTTTTGCTTTCTATGGGAGAAACTCGAACAACAAGAATGAAGTGTTAAAGAAACTTTCCGAGAAATAGCGTCACCAATCCAATGTGTCGTCTTGGACGACGCCCGAAGTTCAACACAGAACACGCTTCTCTGACGTCGACCCAAGCCCGACTCGTGACCGCAAAGTTTAATGCCGTAATCTGAATTTGGTGCGATTCAATCATTCAATTATTTCAACTGATAGGCACAAACCAGTGACATCCTGTCTCACCGTTTCACTGCTACAATAACCAGCAGGTGGCAGAGTTCAAGAACAACTAAAGTAGTAGACGTTCGACTCGAGAGACGACTAGCACACTGACGATCACACTCTGACAGTTATTACGTCGGCATTTGGGTAACTGCAAGGCCTTTCACGCAGGAGTACAAGAAAGGTGAAGAGGTCCTGGCTCGTTGGGGAGACCGGAAGACATATCCAGCCAAGGTGCTAGAAGTCAACGAAGAAGGTAACGGTGGCCTTGTCCCAGGCTTTGCTCTGTCTTACGTTGAGTGAAGGCGCGATCGCACTTGCGAGTCGCAACAGGCATGCTATAGCTTTTCGTAAACTGGGTGACGGTCGGGAAAGAGACCAGATAATAAGATTATCATCCGTGTTTTTGCGTCGCCAGCCTGCTCCACAAGGTGTAGCCTTAGCTCAACCCTCCCACGTGCTTCGGGTCTTTCTAGAATCTACCGATTTAGTGGTTTTCGGTGACGCTGAGCAAGTTTCAGATTGAAACCACATGTTTATTTTCACTAATTAAAAAGTTAATTAACAAATTGTAGTTAATTCGACGTATCGTGATGATTCGCCCCTTACATTATGTCCCCCTGGTTGTATAACGTGCCTGCATAGATTGCATTAATGTAGCGTTGCAGCTTTTTTTTAATTCTGGATTGTTTAACAGAATTTTACTGTGTACTATACCACGCGAGCTCAAGTTGGTGCACGTTGATGTAGCAATTGTGCATTCACTGGAGGGTTGAGAAAAACCCAGGCCACACCGCAAGTTTTAGCAGACCGCTTTCGTGTGCCGGCACAATCGCCACTTTCCGTGCGTGGCTGCTCAGAGTTTGAGCGTAGCCGACTCAAAGCGAAACGGAAAGTGAAAACAATCTACCAGAACACCCCTATTTTCTCGGTGAGAAAGCGACAAAACTGTAGCTGTACGACAACGAAAACAGTAATGCAGTGAAAGGCGAGCCCACGCTGCGGCAGAAGGGATGGAGATGACGGCGGCTTCCGAGAGCTTCCAAGAACTGACCCTGCAATCGCTACTCGCCTTTTGCATGCGGTGCTAAAGTTGGTGGTCTCTAGTCGCATGTTGCTATCCGGTCACGCGACCGCTCCAAGTCACAAGTGCGAATGCGCTCTACAGTGCATGATACAACTAGCACAAACACGACATCGGCACTTATCAGCATTTTACTCCAAGGACTATTTACAAGCATGAAACTTTACCGTTTGGGTTACTGCCCCGATTGAGGACTTTTTTTTGCCAAACATCGAACATTTTATGGCAGCTGTTCAATTTTAAAATAAAAGGAGGAAAGGCTGCCATTTTTTTTGTTAGCGCTAACTCTGTTGCCCTGCGTACCTTTGCACTCGAAAACCTACCTGCGTGTAGTGTTTTCTGCCTGTGCTGTCGCATGTTTAACCTGCGACAGCACAGCACAGACATGTTTAACCTTAACGGCTGCGTTCGGCGTTAAACATGCTGTCGCATGTTTAACTCCGAACGCAGCTGTTGTTTTCCGGTGCGGCGTCTCTTCTTTCTCTTGAAAAGGCCACCCGAAATGGAGGCTCAGCTTTTCTGATGATTGTGCCTCTTTTTTCTTGGAATCCCTCAGGCACATACTGCGTGCTGTTCTTTGACGGCATTGTGAAGACGCTCAAGGCCATCAACGTGGAGAAGATGCCGCAGGAGCAAAAGGGCAGCGTGGTGAGTTGAGATCACAAAAACGGGATTCTGCATCTTTGACATTTTTGTTTTATAAATTTGGCGGCGGCGGCTGGGAGCAATCGTGCCGCTGATGACGTGGGTGGACGTCGCCGAGAGTTCTTTCGAAAAACGACCATGGCTATTCCCTAAAGTTCTCACTGACAGCTGTCACTATACAAAGCTTTTCCATGGTGCATATCCATTTTTTTATGGGTCCTAAGGTTTTGTGACAGAGTAGATGCATGCGGTTGCTTTCTTTATGGTGGCTTGTTAGAACCAGCGTTCATCGGTTAGGCTCTCTCAGCGATCCCATCAGTTGACTCCTAGCATCGGTAGCGTGCCGCTGGTGTTTCAATTGGTCCCCAGAACTACCGTAGTTACTCGCATAATGAACACGCTTTTTTCGTGAAAAATTGACACATATTTGGGAGGGAGCAATCTTTACGTGGTGTAAAAGTTTTGCATTTACACACTTCGTGCAAATGTCATGATATTGGGTGCCAATATGACACGGCAAAGTACTGTGGCAAGTTTCCACTCATGAAGCCGCACCCACGGCTGGTCGGAGGTGCGCCACAGTAACCATGGTTTATGAATGCGAACCTTTTTAAGGCGCTTTCGGCGTGCCTTTTGCCGAAGGAAAAGCACTCCACAAAGCTCACTCAACACTGAGAGTGACGCGACCGTTCTTAGGCCTAACCACTTTCACGATTTTACTGTACGAAAGCGGATCGCGGACGATGGCGTGTTCGTTGACATCAATGCAAATTGGAAATGCGATCAGTGCGCGAGTGGAAAAAAAAAGTGTAAATATTGGTACCCGTTGTCGTGGGTGCATTTGTTATGCGAGTGCGTTCATTATGCGATTAAATACGGAATCTTCCCATAGTGTGACGAAAAGATTCCAGACCAGGGGTCTGATTTTGGTCGAGGTGAGAGCATTCTCTGCTGCTGATTGGACGTGGCGTCGCAGCTTCCTGCCGGGTGTGTGTAATCAACCAATGAGAAATTTTTGACCCATTCAATCTGGCAATGTTTTGGTGAAAACGTCTTGCCAACTCACAAATACTGAGAAGGTCTCGTGGCCTCTGATGGGCTTGCCCTTGGTACTCCTTCGTCCACCGGTCGATTGCGGCTTGTGCGTGTTCACAGAACAACTTGAGGTATGTGTCTTCCAACGTGAAATTGCGGACGATTAGAATTTCAGCTTGTCTGATTTCAATTCACCACAACCCTCAACTTGTAACAAACAATAAATTTTTTTTTTTTGGTGTGTTAGCAGACGACATACATGGTTTTGTTGTTTTATTTCCGTCCGCAAGTGATGCACCAGTCGATGTCGGCTTGTGCATGTCCACAGAACAACTTGAGATATGTGTCTTGAAACGTGAAATAGCGGACGATCATAATTTCAGCTTGCAGGATTTCGCTTCACCACAACCCTCAGTTTGTAGCAGACAATAATTTTTTTTTTCTTTTTTCGGTCTGTTAGCAGACGACATAGATGGTTTAGTTGTTCTATTTCCCATCCGCAAGCGATGCGTCATAGCAGACAAACTGTGTTCTGTGCACATGTTAGCACATGAACCGTTTGTGAATGCTATCTTCACTCGCTACACGGGAGTTAAACAAGATCTAAGGACCGCGGTGGGACGTCGGCATGCAGGTCTTCCCGAAGGTGACGCGCCGCGACTCAGAAAGTCGGAGGAACCGGGACGGAGGGTCGCAGGGCAAGTCCAGGAGGTCCTCGCAGGAGTCGAGGAAGCCGGCGTCGCAGCACGAGACCCGGAAGGGGGCCGCATCCCCCTCGACCCCCGACCCCAGGAGGCCCCACCCGGAGAGGGCCCACAAGCAGAGGGCAGAGGGCAGGAAGGCCGACAGGAGAGGTGCGTCCCTCCCGTGCCCGGGGCTTCGTGCAACGGGGTCACGCAGAGGTGTAGTCGGCAGTTCCCGGGCAGTTTTAGAAAGCGCCGTCCCCATTGATTTAGTGTAACGTACACTAGGGTGGGGATTCTCAAGAGTTCTCAATCTTGAGGTAGCCCTATTTGACTTGAACAGGAGCCAAGGAATCTTTCATGGTCTTGGCATTGGCAAAGTAAAGCGGTGCAAGTGACTGCAGGCATTGTTTGTTTGTTTGTTTATTTATTTATTTGCCAATACCCCGAGGCCACTAGCGGCATTACAGAGAGAACTGGTTGGTTGGTGCGAGGCAAAAATCTGTGTTACCTGCGATGGGGACAGTGTCATCTGGGAGGTCATTCCAGTCTGGGATAGATTCGGGTAGAAGGAAATGCTGATAGGCTGTTGATTTGGTCTTTGATTGGGCAATCTCGCACGAGCGGTCCACTCTCAAAGAACGATAATGCACATGCTGGGGAGTGCTTGGTTTATACAGTTGGGTCTCGGCGAGTGGCTCAGATCCACCGAAATAGAGCTCAAACTGGAAGAACACTTTACTTAACGGCGTTGCGCGTTGGCTGTTGCACACGTTGCCGATCAAGCAGACCGCATCGCGGCTTGGACGGGACCTGGGCAGGGGTCCAAGCGGAGACTGAGAGTCGGCATCAAAATAAAATGCGCCGTTTAATCCATCCTGCAGCAGAGAGATAGCAAACCCCAACCTCCCCAGTTGGGTTCTAGTATAATCGAACGGTGTTTGTTCCCCGCAGCATAAATTTGCGGGCTTTGTCGATTTCCGTTTTCTTTCTTCGAAAATTTTGGAAAGGGACTCGTAGCTTTAAAACAAGATACGGCAAGGTCCGAACGGGATACGACGTGGACCACTAACACTACGGTGCGGGTGCATATAGCGTCCCGCTCCCCTCGTACAATGAGAGTGGTCCCAAAGTTGCAACAGACGTTGTAAAAGCTGGAGCGTTGCGCCGCCGAACGTCGCAGTTTCAGCGGTCGGCCGTAGAAGTTCTGGAAAGAAGCAGGGGCGAACGCGATCGTTGCCGTCATCACGGCGTCCAGACCCCGGCCGCGGAAGCTTGACCGTCGAGCCGGGGAGCGACCTGCGGCAGGACGGGCGTTTGCCCCATCCGGCGCCGCTGCTGCGACACCTCTGACGTCATCAAGCAGAAATTGAGGGACCGCTTTTTAGGACTCGGTAAACGCAGTAGTTGGCGATATGTTGCTGGCACCGCACTAGTGCCACACTTGGCCGGAGACTTGAGCGTTCGCCGACGCGCACTTAATTTTTGCGGCAAGGAAAAGAGTCTTCTTTTCTCCGAAACCCTCGGTATATCCATCTGCGTCGAGGCACCCGTACAAGCCCTCATTCCTGCGCAGATGCAAGTACCTCTCCGGCCCCAAGCAGCTCGAGCTCGTCGTCCCAGTCGAGGAAGAGGATCCTCCTGATTGGGGGCAAGTTCATGGCCAAGAAGGCCCGCCAGACCGACGCACGGGGAGGCTCCGGGCGCAGCACCGACAAGAAGGTGGGCCCGGTTTGTCAGCTCTCTCCCACCCACGAGAAAAGTGCCTGTGACTTTTTGTTACCGTATTTACCTGATTCTAAGCACCCCCTTTCTTTCACACATGCGATGTTCAAAGAGGGGGGGGTGCTTAGATTAGATTCGGAACCTGCCCCGAAAATACGAAATTTGCACAAGAAATATGAATTTATTTTAATCAAAATGAAACAATAAATGTTTTAAAGGAAATAAATAAAGTAAAGACTGGAGAGTAGCTCGCTTGCCATCAGTTTGCACCACGGTCGACTAGTCGCTCGCGCAAATAGTCTTTTGAGGATGATGTAAGGCGCAAATTTCTGACGGTCGGCTTTGATGCACAGCATTACGATCACCCTTTGCTTCTCATAGCCAGTCGTGCGCACTTTTACTTCTCGGGCGCCTACTTCGTTCACGGTGCACGTCCTTGGCACATCGATGTACACAGGGGTCTCATCATCATTGCCGATCTGCCCGAGTCCGTAGCGAGATTCGCGACGCAGCTTCACCACATAACGTTGAAGTTGACGAGCTTGTCCTCGAAGTCCACTGGTAGCTTCTGGCAGATAGTGGTGCGGCGTCTCAAAGAGAAACTGTTCCTCTTCATCATACGCTCCACCCAGCCTCGGCTTGCGCGGTACGCCGCACTCCGAACTGTTCAGCAGCGCCGTGATTTCTGTTGTCTTCCGCGTAAGAAACAACCGTTCTCTTGAACTTCATTGTGTATGAAGTTCTCTTTGCACTCATGATGGACAACTTCCGCAAACCACGTGCACACAGTGAACGGAATACAATCGCGAGGCCAATGCAGCCGAATAGGCTTAACAGACTAAACAACCGACTGCAACAAGCGCAAGGAGACCAAATAGACAAAACATCTTCGATGGAGGGTACGGCAACGCACCCCCTTTCGCAACCTGCATGGATGTAAAAGTGGAAAATGGCGGTATGTGCTGCCATCCATTAACTGACGTTGAAGCCCAAGCCCCAGCGGCCGTTCGCAACTCCGGCGCTCGGCAATACCGACGTCTCCGATCTCAAATTTCTTGTTGGGAGGGGGGTGCTTACATTCGCATGCAAACTTTTTTCAGGTGTTTATGTTTGAAAGTGTGGGGGGGGGTGCTTAGAATTGCTAAAATACGGTACTTTTTTTTTTAAAGTGAATGTTTTTTACGGGTATGTTTTATGTGTGTTTTACGGGTATGAATGTGTTTTATGACTATATCTGAAGCTTACGAAGGCCCGCATTAAATGAACGTAAGAGGCCTGGGTTGGTGCGGTGGCAATGGTATACTGTACCCACTGAGCTATACTGGCACAGCTGCTCTGCGAGGGTTCATGATTTTATTAAGGCGAAAGCCTTGTATGTCTCGTCGTTCATTCAACCTTCAGAAAACATGTTGGCGACACGAAATGTACCAGCGAAACGGCGCCAAAAGTGTGTCGTCGGAGAGCGTGCTGTCTTCGGAGGTTCGCTATCATGTTTACGTGACCACTCAGGCGAATTAGAGGCAATGAAATTAAGAAGGCTGACAAAGCGAATTAAGAGGAATCAATGTGAATTAAGTAAATCATGTGTCTGTCCTTAATGCATCGGCGCTTGGGCTTTCGCCTTCAAGTCGTCTTTGGGATAACATAAGAGACCCTGTGTTTTTTGGTTTAAAATGTTCAGGCAAAAACCATGTGTTTTGAATCAATACACAATATATAATGACAAATGAAATCCATAAAAATGAACTAGAGTACAATATATTAAAATAAAATGAGCGTTAACAAAATAAGAATGCATTAGAATAAATAAATAGAATAGATAACAAAAATGAAAAATCTAGCTCTAAACCACACATGGAATACTATTTGTGTGGGACAAATTCTGAGCTCCCTGGTCTTTGTCAACATGGTCAAGCCTATATAATTTTTCTTGAGGAAAATATTAGGTTTACGATATAATATATACCATATTTACGCGCATAATGAACGCACCCCCCCCAACAAGTACAAATATTTAACTTTTTTTTTTTTCCTCGCGTAATGAACACACCCCCGATTTCCGACTCCGCGAGTCTCGAATTGCGTCCAACTTAGCTAGGCACCAAGTCCACCAAGCCAATTTTCTTTTGCTGCCAAGCGATCGGGTCAAGTCAAGCCAAGCCAAGCCAAGCCACTCTCTTAATGGCTGCAAGTGCGTAGTTGCAGAAGTGATCAAACGTGAAACCGAGCGCAGCGCATACCTAACAAAGCTGGGGTTAGAGGAATTGCCCAGCCCTGGATAGTCTCCGCTCATCAGATGCATTGATGTCAACAAACACGTCGTTGTCTGTGGTCAGCTTTCGTACTGTGAAATTGTGAAAGTGGTTAGGCCTAAGAACGGTCACGTTGCTTTCTGTGCTAATTGAGGTTCGTAGGGTGCTTTTCCTTCGGCAAAAGGCACGCCGAAAGCGTCATAAAAAGGTTCGCAATTGATAAAGCATGGTTGCTTTGGTGCACCCCCGGCCAGCCGTGGGTGCACCTCCGTCAGTGGAGACATGCCGGCCGTGTCACGTTTGCAGCTAATATGACATTTGCACGAAATGTGTGCATGCAGAAATGTTACCCCACTTAATGAGTGGACCCCTCAAATATGTGTCAATTTTTCAGAAAAAAAGGTGCGTTCATTTTGTGAGTAAATCCGGTATTCCTGTTACAAAAGGTAATGAGTAATATGCTCCAGGATCAAAGAGGAATTCTTAGTCATTCTCTAAGACGAACTCATTTGACGACGCAATCACTTTTTCATTTTCAAGTTACACACTAAGAGACGTTGTCACCTGCTCCAAAAGGATCAGCCAGTGCTCCGAACCAACGTTTTGCCTGCCACAGAACCCGCTACAAAAGGTCGAATGCCGCCTCTATCGCCGTGCGTGTCCTCCGAATTGCAGGCCAAGCGGAGAGCAAGCTCGAGCACCGAAGAGTCTCCGGCAAAAAGGGAGAGGAAGACGTCCGCAACTTTCAAAGGTCAGGTCCACTTCTTTCCGTTCGGCTCCTAGGTGTCTCGGCAGGTACCGCTGTTGCGTTTTGCTCTGCAAAGGCGGAAGATTGCCGACCTCACCATCTCGTCCTGGCTGTCGTTTCAGACGGTGCGGAGGGATCATCGCCTGCCCCGTCCGTACCTGCGTCCGCGGCTTCTCCCCAGGATGCACCTCTGTCGTACGGTACTGCTCTTCCTTTGCTTGTCCTAGTTATCTCTCGCATCCTTCCCACTCCTCGCATGACTGGGCCGACTTTCCCGAGGTTACTTTGCGCGCCCCAACGCAAGCGCTACCGTTGTGAGAGTAAATGTGGTATATTTTGTTATTCAATGACTACCGTAGAATACCGTGCATCCGCCCATACCGCATTAAGCGCCCGTTCCCAAATTTGTAAAACCTGAGAAAATATGCACAGTACATTGATATGTAGAATTGATGACCGGACTAGCGCCCATCCCCCATTTTCTCATGATTATCTCAAAATTTTGAGTGGGCGCTTGCCCGGTATTTTACGGTATAACTAGCGGCACTGTAGCACTAGGTTGCGAGTGTGCGAAAAGTCATGTTGAAAAGAAGCCGCGATTCTGGGTGCGATGGGCAATGCTCCATGGCTGCGAGGGATTATATTCCCCAAATGTTCGAGTTCCATCTTCCGCTGGCTGTTAATTCGCATTATAATTGCTCGCCTCTAAGGCTCGTGCTAATAGTTTCCACTGTCTGTTTCATCGTTCGGTTTCCTCGACTGTTTGCAGCAGCACCTACGCATATGCTTTTGGAGGAACTGCTCTTGCCCCAAAACGTTTAAGCGCGTGCGAGGGATTGCAGGTGGCAAACAATCTGCCATCAGTAAATGGACAATTTGGCAGGGTTAGATGGACAAAAATCGATAGCCATTTTCCTACCGTAAATAGCGGATCTAGTGGCGCTACTTTTGGGTTCTTTTTTAATGTGAAAGCGAGGAACAATGTTTTTTTGTTTTTTTTTATTGATGCTTTTGAGTGGAAATATTCAAATACCGTAAAATCCCGTAAGGGCGCCCTCCCCCGAGAGATCGCCCATCCCGTTTACCTGGCTAAACATCTGTAACATAAAAATTCCGAAACATCGCCCACCCTCCGATTTCCGGTGGACGTCAAGCGATGTCCGACGGGAATCGCGCATCAAAGGCGCGATCGGTGGTACCGGTGTGTCGACAAGCGAGTTCATAGCGGGTTCCCGCGTTTTTGTCTGCGATCTGCGCGCGATATCGGCTCGCGTAACACGCTAGTTGTTGCCGCGTGTATATTGCATCGTGAAATGCGAATCTGCTGCGCTTACGATTTGCGGCATCCGTTCCCGAGTTCGTAGCGGATTCCCGTGTTTTCGTCCGCGATCTGCGCGCGCGATATCGATTCTAAGCAGTAATTACACGCGCGAGTTGTTCCTGCGTGTATATTGCATCGTGAAATGCGATTCTGTTGCGTCCGCGATCTGCGCTATTTGTTTCAGTGACATGCGAGTTCGTAGCGTATTCCCGTGCTTTTGTCCGCGATCTGCGCGCGCGATATCGGTTTCCGTGACAGGCAAGATTGTAGCGGGTTCCCGCGTCTTTATTGCATCATGAAACTTGAATCTGCTGCGTATGCGATCTGCGGTATCCCTTCCCGTAAGATGCGAGTTCTCGGCGGGTTCCCGCGACTCCTCCGCACCGTGAAACGCGAATCTGCTGCGTCGGCCACTTGCGGTATCCTTTCCCGTGACACAGGAGTTTGTAGCAAACTCCCGCGTGTTTATCGCATTGTGAAACGCGAATTTGCCATGTCCGCGATTTGCGGTATCAGTCCCCGCGTCACTTGGTTTGTAGCGGGTGCCCCGGCGCTTATCATTAATTTTTGATACAGTTTTGCTGTGGCATCCGTAAAGATAGCCCACCCCATGTTTTTCACCATTTATCTCTTCATTTTGGGTGGGCGTTTTTACGGGATTTTACGGTATTCCTATAAGCTCTACTTGGACAAGATTAGAATTCACTTCCATGCACATTTAACTAAAATGTTTTAGTCATCAGTTATTCAGGTGTCATTAAGCTTATTGTGAATCATTCCATCTTTTTCTTTGGCATTGTTCATTCATTTACTGACTTTTTTTTCTTCTTTCTTTTCTTCGTAACTCAAAGGTCTTGAACTGTCAACGTCTCCCCAGTTTACACCTGACGGCAGACGAAGTAAGATTCTTCTTATTTTCCTTTAACAAATTTTTTTTTTTTAAGTAAACTTACTATGACGAATTTCCACTGATGTTGTTGAATGCAGTAGTATCATTAACAACTGCTCGTTGTTAGTGTTGGACAACTCTTCGCATTATTTCCCATTAACAACTGAACGGTAGCTTTTTAAAAAGACTAAATTGTACCTGTTTCATCTAGGTGGACTTTTCCACGGAACTCGTATAGAAACATAAATGTACCACCGAAACCAATAGAGTTGAGGCAGTCGAAATTTCTTGCCAAGGGCTTCTCATTGTACGATAAAATCTCGTTAATTTGAACCCGAGGGGGACCAGAACATTGTTCAAATAATGAAAATTTTGAATTACAGGGAGTGTTCTGCCTAGAAACACGTAGATGGGACCTGCATGTTAGTTTGAATTATCCGCGAGTTTGAATTAACGAGATTCCACCCTAGTTATTAGCTCGTAGTGTCAAGCTTCTCCGTCCTTGAGTTGCTATCTGAAAGGAATACAGTCAGTGGCGTAGTCCATAAACCTAACTTGTAAAACCGCGAGTGGTTATATAATTGCGGTTATATAACCAATCGAAGGAAACCTCGAAGGTGGCACGGTGCCGTCTGGTGAGGGGCGTAGAACAGCGTTGCAGCCCCGTTCTTCGGTCGCAGTCGCCCGCAAGGAGTTCATCATCGAGGAGGACCACAACCACTTCAAGTGCACCCACGAGGGCTGCGGCAAGAGCTTCCGCAAGGAGCCTCTGCTGCAGTCGCACCTGAAGCACTACCACGGCCGGAGCCCCCCTTCCCGGCCGTCGGAAACCGAGACTCCGCCTGCCGCGGCGGCTCCTTCGGCGCCTGTTATCCCCACGGCAATTCCTCCGGCGGTCCGCCCGTTCGACCTGGGCGAGCCCCCCCGGGTGCCCTTCGTCAAGCTGGAGCCGCCTTCCGAGAACCCCCTGCTTCAGGCGGCCCTGCAGGTGGCAAGGGGGGCTCGGGAAAATGCACCAGAAGGCTCCTCCGTGGCCGGACACTGTTCTTTGGGCGGGCTGTCCGAGGCCGTGCCTGCAGTCGTGCCTGCGACTGCGCCTGCAACTGTGCCTGCGACCATGCCTGCAGCCGCACCTGCACCTGCGCCCGCAGCCACACCTGCGCCCGCACCTGCGCCTGCGGCGGTCGAGGAGAAGCATCCAGAAGCACCCGCTCCGGCGCTTTTGGCCATCGGGGGTAAGTTCCGAGAGTCGAACTCGTTCTGGCCTGACCTGCCTCCTCTTAAGATATTTAGTGTTTCTCGGGCCGCCTACCACAGTTGACATTCTTTATAAGACCTTTCCGGAAAATTCCGGAATGCTTTGCGGCGAGGGGAGTTGTGGGGCCGCTCCAACGTGCGCTCGTGCCGAATCGCACGCTCCGTATGTCCTGGAAGCGGCACGATTCGTTTTCTCTTATCCAGTCTTGTACATGTTACTCAAAAAACATGCTCAATAACAATTACCCGGTGTCTGAAATAGCGGCCAGGCTGTTTAAATCGACTGTGAAATTTGGTTTCTTAACCTATCACGCTACGATTTTGTGCAGCGTTGCCCACAGGTGGTGCATTTTTTCTATAAAATTTGCAACAATCGAACTGCAGCTGCAGTCGCGGGAGAGTCAGATGTTCAGAGAAACAAGAAAAGAGTGGCCGCTCTTGTGAAAGAACTATAGTCTGTAACAGGTCAAGAACAAAGTGGAAGCTCCCCCCACCCCTTTCCACTTCAGTGAAGCGAACACTGGAGAGGGGCCGACCTCCTGTCCACCGTTCGCTCTGCTGAAGTGGAAAGGGGTGGGAGGAGCTTCCACTTCGTTCTTGACCTGTCACCAACTATAAAAGAAAAGCAAAGGCTGCTCAGTGAATCACTAATGGAGGCCGGTCTCCGGCAAGAAAAAAAATCGACTCCCTTAAAGGGGCGGTGCAACGATTTTATGATTAACAGAATTTGCATCTCGTCATTTTTACGTTGTTTATCGTGTCCCGGAGGATAAAGAAATCACCTCCTTCATTAAAAATATCGCGATTCCGCTGCATAATCGCAAAGACAAAGTCGAGCTTTTTCCACCCCCTGCAGCCCCAAGTGGCAGCTGAAGGAACTACGGCGAAAAGATTACGTGACCTCGCTCAGCTCTAAGCTGCAGCATAGCACCCGCTAATGTCAGCAGAGAGAGAAAGAGGAAGCGTCCTCCGAGATAGCACACAGGAACCTACACGGCACTCCGAATGACGTCACTGGGAGGGGGACCAGGTGTGACCCTGAAGGCTGGGAGTGAGTTGAGGGGTGCTCGAAATGCCAATGGGTGATTTCAGATAAGATCGACCAAAGGGTGGCTGGTCGACATTTTTAAATCAACTGATGTTTTTATATGACATTGTCTAGTGTCTGGTATAAACGAATCCACACTTAGTTTTGACCAGAAAAAAAAATTTGGAGACAAGAAAAATCGTAAGGCAGGGAGAGGTGGACAGTTGCAATAACGCGCACTGATGGAGGGGGCAAGTTTGAAAGTGAATAATTAAAACAATAAAATTAGGAGAATTTTAAAACTTTTTACAAACAAACTATTGGTACAACTTTCTTGTAATATAAAGTAATAATATTTATTAAAAATTTATTTAGTTTTCTAAAAATTGCCAAACATGCCTGCTCGAACGACAAATGGCAAACTTTGGAAATCTGTATCTCATGAAATAATTTAATCATTATTACATAACTTGCAGACATTATTTTACTAATATATGGCTATTATTCAAAAAATAAATAAGGTATCTGAGTGACACAATAGTTACAATATATTTAGGCAAACATGGGAAAAAAATCTAACAGAAAAATTCCAATGCAAATAAAAAAAAAAACACCACCTTCGATTTTTTTTAAATTTGGGTACCCTGTTATACTCTATTTCGGCATTTATTTCTATTAAAAACATGTTGCATCATTGCACTGTGAAAGAAGAAACAACTCCCCAAAGTAGGGTCCTTTTTCAAAGCCTACACTTAGCAGTGTCCTATACAAGAAGTGACTCTGAGTTCCGGTTTCATGAAACTTGCACAAATCTTTTATATACATTTATTCAGATGAGGTCATTGATAAAAAGAGTGATCGGTCACACAGTAAAAGGGAGGAGAAACTATATACAGCATTTTACATAAGCGTACAAAGTGGTATCATATTAGAGACTAATGATTTGAGAAAAGATGATGCAGTGTGAAGTTGTACCTTCCGGTATATTTTACATCTAGAGTAAAATAAATAACTTTACTTCCACACACAAAAACAAAGATATAATAGTAAGATATTTAGGTTGGCTGTGTATTTACGATTACAAACAATTTCAGGTGACGGATGCCATAGTGCCGAACTGGAGCAGCTTCGATGCTCTCGGTGTATGAATGAATCGTGGCAAGCCGATATATTTTATCCTGCTCGAGGATAACATTTTGGGATTTTTTTTATAGTGATCAGATAAAAATTATTAGTAACCACCAACAAAAACAGTAGGTTAAATACCCCGTGAAGAAAAATGTGATAAATAAGATGTCCCTGCATTCAAAATGAGCAGTCCTTGAAAAATCAAATTCGGCACTTTACGCTAAGGTTTTCCTCGCTGTACCCATTTAATAAAGTTGCTTCCAAGCAGATCCGACTGTCCGTGCTACATATACGTCACAGGTCCCTTCTGTTGATGACTTGCTGAGCCGCCACGCGTGCCAAGACTGAATGCCAGGGAAGGCGCGCACCGTCAGCCACTCTTCTTTTTTTTGTTCACGATACCGAACAACCTCATTTTCGTCCAGATATGCGAGATGCACGCCTTTCAGTTTCTTTGATAGAACGCTCACCATTGTCCTGGCCGTCTGAATTGCGCTTACTGAACGTCCTCTCAGGTTGTTCAGCGTGGCCTGGTGCTTCACGAGTTCGCCAACTCCATCACATGCATTTTTCCCATGTCCAGATGCAGAAAATAACCACTGGGCTTGTGGGCAATCGTCCTTTGCAAATTGGTGAAGCTGGTAGCGATTCTTGAAATGACTGGCGGCGCCGTCACTTACGTACGTCACGTACGAGTATACCGCAACGTTGTCTTCAACCCACTCCTTCACTTTTTCTAGAGCCAAGCAAGCGTGAGCGGCGTCGTGACACAGGTCCTCACTGATGGTGGCAAAGCTGTTTGTAGATTTTCTTGTCGTCACTACACATGTAAATATCGAAACTTGTTTTTTTTTTCAGTGATATGCTTGCACTTCGTCAGGAAGCACGATGGTCCAGTTTTCAGCAAAGTCAAAATGAAAGACAATGCTCCCGCGTTGCATGCACTGTTTTTCATCGTAGATCGCTTTACCTTGCGTTTGCCGGATATGGTTGTGAAGTACCCAACTTCCAACCGTCACTTGGATGACTTTTAGGAAAGTCTCAGGTTCCAAAGTCTTTTTCACAAGGTCGCCGGACTCCCATGTTGCAAGCACAATCTCTTCATCCTCCGGGATATCAAGTTCCTGGAGTGTAAGAAACTGGCCTTTTGGGCAGTGATCACAGTCTCCTTGAAGGCACAGTTCTGTTGCTGGGTCGCACAGAAATGCCGAGTTCATTTCACCAGTGTTGAATGTTGAGCCTGTAACATTCTCTAGAGCGGCAATACAAAGATAATAATTGGCGCAGCGCACACAAACGCACACTTCCTGGTGTGGAATACATTGGACCCATCTAGGGCGCAACGAATAAAATTTCGTTAGCCCAACGCCGGAATCGGGATGCTTGTCTTTATATATACGGAAGGCCTCTCGTATTGAGCGTGTCATGAAGCGCTTTGGCACGAACGTTTTCTCTCCGTTGAGCATGACAGAGATGACGTCCTTCTGGTTGGGACTTTGGCGCGAACATTGTAGCTCGTCTTTCGTGAAGTACTCTAGGGCAGCAGACAGGTTCTCAGGGCTCACCTTGCACCTCGTGTAAGGATCCGGCTCATACCAACGCCATGCTTTTCCTTGAGTTTTCGGGATTTACTGATGAGGTACATTGAGGCCTGTGGAATCATCTTTTGAACCTCATTCTTCGTCAGTGTTGACGGCAGGAGTGTAAGCAGTTGACAACGTTCCCGGAGAGAGGTGGCGGTTTCAAAGGCCTGCCGAAAGTTGTCCACCCACTCAGTGCATGTGGAGCATGTTGGTTCGGACGACCCCGATGGTGCGTTCCTGTCGTACGCAATACGTAGCCTTGAGCGTATATTCTTGACAGCAACCTGCTCCAGTTCTGTCTGCTTTCTCTTGACATAGGCAGGCCTGTCCCGACTTCTTACGACGCTTGGTTGTCTCAGCGGCGACACATCTGTAGGTAGTATGCTGCGATTTAGATCTTCAATTGCTTCTTCAGCTGGCACAAATATGTCAGGGCACTGCTCTGAGCTTCGCATCGAGATCTCCTTAGTGATGTGCATGAAGCAATGGTAGCACAAGTAGTCCGTCGCACTCACTTTGGTGGAACAGTCAGGCGGAAGAATTTGCTTCAACGAGGTTAGGTCCAACTTGCCAACACTTCGAAAATTCCGCTGCTTTGGTATAGTCTTTTTGTGTTTGCAAAAGTAATCTGCACAAAACACTCGTTCGGAGCTCCAGGACGTCTTCATAATGTATACATAAATAATAGAAATTAAACCCCAACTGATGGCATAATTGCCAAGTGAAAGAACTACTGGGTGCACAAGTGACAAGTCCGAGGCTGAGGAGCTCACTCACTGCAAACGTACATTTGAAAAGAGAGGTCACAACTGAGGCTGTCGGCAAAGCTTGATCCACGTCAAAGGAAGAAAGAGGGAAAGTCTCCAGACAAAAAATTGTCGTCAGCGGCCTTCGAAAAAGACTTTCCGGAATCGCACTGTCGTCCCTCCACGCGCTGATATGAAAGCACCCGAGCTTCTACCACGTGGTTCATGACACAGCCTGAGCCATGTCGGCGACCGGTTCGCGAGGGGTTGGCTGTGGGGTTACGTTGATGGTCACTCGGATTAGCCCTTGCTGTACTGAGCTACCACCGCCTGCAGTGCCTTATCGCCGGCTGGTGTCAACAACGAGAACACACACACCCTGTCTACACCAAAACTACAAGCGTTCACCGCACACGCGTCGCCGCCGCTTTTAAGCTTTTGTGAAATTGCTTTCTTTTGCCGCGGAGAACCGCCTTATCTTAACTACGCGCCTGAAATCCTTCCAGGCGGGCGTACACAATATCAAACGTTTTGAGAAATGCCCGTGGAGTAGAACTATGGGAAAATTCGGAGCCCGCGATGTCGATATCGTCGCCGTTGTGTTAGTACGCCGTCGCGTACTGCAGTCCCCCGTTGGGGGAGGGGGGGGGGGGGGGCGGTCTTACTACGATAACATGGCGACAGCGTTTACACTCTATGTATTTACGCGAGGCTCGAGTATTTGGGGATAATGCTGCCGGTTGGTGTGCCCCTTTGTGCCTGATATTATCGCCCGTGACGCCAGCGAGTGAGATGGCGACAGGCATGACTGCTCAGTAAACAGGCGTCGGCGGCCATGTTTTGCTGGTTGAAGCGAACCCCCTTGTCCTTGGCAGCGAGCGGGGAAATGCGAAAAAAAGATTGTATCGGCCGTTTTGCCAGAACTAGCGACGAGTGTCGTCTGCGGTTTCCGGCAACTATTTTGCCATAGTCGTGAGCTTAGCGAGGAAATGATTTTTGCTAGCCACAGAACACTACCACGCAGAAAGGGAATGCTTGAACATGTTTTTGTTCTGGATATATATCAGGGATATATATGAGAGAGAGAGAGAGAGATGAAGGTAGAGCGGAAGAGGGAATAGCATATAGTGTCGCAGGAGAATAAAGTAAACAAAGTTCCTAGTGGCCGATGGCTGCATGATCTTTTCTCAAATCACTAGTCCGTAATATGATACCTCTTTGTACACAGCAGTTTCTCCTTAATTTAAGTGTGCGAACGATTTCTTTAGTTATCATTGGCCTCATCTGAATAAAAATATATAAAAGATGTGTGTTGGTTTCATGAAACTGGAACTCAGAGTCAGTTCTTGTATAAAACACTGCTAAGTGTTGGCTTTGAAAAAGGACCCTACTTTGGGGAGTTGTATCTTCTTTCTCAATAAAATGATGCAACATGTTTTTAATGGAAATGAATGCCGAAATAGAGTATAACAGGTTACCTAAATTTAAAAAAAATCGAGGGTGGTGTTTTTTTTTTATTTGCATCGGAATTTTTCTTTGTTTGATTTTTTTTCCATGTTTGACTAAATATATCCTAACTATTGTATCACACAGATACCTTAGTTATTTTTTAAATATTAGCTATATATTAGTAGAATAATATCTGCAAATTATATCATAATGATTAAATTATTTCATGAGATACAGACCTCCAAAGTTTGCCATTTGTCGTTCGAGCAGGCATGTTTGTCAATTTTTAGAAAAATAAATAAATTTTAAATAAATATGATTACTTTATATTACAAGCAAGCTATACCCATAGTTTGCGCCTAAAACGTATTAGAGTTCTCCTAATGTTATCGCTTTAGTTATTCACTCTCAAACGGGCCCCCTCCATCAGTGCGCGTTAATGCAACTGTCCACCACCTCATGCCTTACGATTTTTCCTGTCCCCAAGTATTTTTTCTAGTCAAAACTAAGTTTGGATTCGTTCATACCAGACACTAGACAATAACATATAAAAACATCAGTTGATTTGAAAACTGTCGACTAGCCATCCTTTGGTCGATCTTATCTGAAATCACCCCAATATTCATCTTTTTTTTACGCAACAACTAGGACGCGCAGGCAAAATCGGTTTTCTGTTCTTTACTTCAGAAGTGTCAGAGGGCAACTTCCAGAAATCTTTGACCGAAGTCCGGAAATCGTTGCACCCCCCTTTAAGAAGTAAGAGATCCGTGCTTGGACAACCCTTATGCAATGGCTGACACTCTTAAGGGGTGACACCACCTTCAAGTGTCGACTTTTAAACCAGTTACTCAATATTGATGAAATTTGAAGCGTCTGTTCATCTCGTTGCCTAAATGCACTTTATGAACTTTCATCTCTGTAAGACTATTTTCCGATAAGCTACAGGGGGACGCACGCAAATATTGATGTAAGTCGCCTCACTTGGCAAGGAAATCTATCGTTTAAGATTGCTGGAGAATATTGAGCATTTCTAAGCTTTAGCCTTAACTAGAACATATGGTGGGTGGAGCTGTCTATTTTTCACCTTAAAATTCATGTTTTGTCGATGCAAAATGTCAATTTGAAAAACGTTCCACATAATGGGGCATTTTCTCCTGATCAAAACTACTTTTTGGCAATAAGAACTTTATTTAAATATAAAAATAAATATCTAGCCCCCTTCCTCATTAAATTTCATTTCAGAAACATCCACAGCAAAGAATACATTCAGCGATTCATTGAAATGATAGATTTCCTAAAACGAAAGTTGCTGCAAAAAAGTGAAACTGAGAAAAACCTGTTCGAAGTTTCCACACCACTACATTTGCTTTTACTGGTGGTGGTGGCAACTGAAAGGTACCAAAAGTGTAGATGGTGCCTTCTGCTTACACCCAATCTCCAACATGGCTTTGCTGAGTGAGTCCGAGCTTATTCTTTGAGTGTCATTTTGTTGTCGGCATGTGGACATTGATTGTGAAACGAGTGAGGAATTGGGTATGCTTGCAATACACAAACCAACATCAGCAAGTATGGGCGAGGCAAGCATCATTGAAATAAAAAGCAGACAAACCCACGTGACGTTCTATAAATGAATGCTGGTTTTAGTCAGTTTTGTGTTCAATCAGGGTGGGCTTTTCAATTCTTGGCCATATGCAGAGCCTCTTCCACGTGAAAGGTGGACTTCTGTGGTGTTCTCGCCCAAATAGTTTGCTCTCAAACAAATATATTTAATGTACTGAAACTGTGAAGAAATGCTCTCTCCAATGAGAATATGATCATCATTCTAGGACACACCAGTGCAAAGCTACAGCAGTCAGAAAATAGGAAACAGAAGTCTCACATTTCAAAAACATGTGATTTGTTTTTGCATCGTTGGCTTACCGAAAATGTTCTATTTCTCTGTAAATACTTCAGATATTGCAATAAAAATTTGCAGGAGTATACACTATTAGTTGTGGAACCACATTACATAAAAATAGGAAAATTAGTTTTTTTCTCAAAAATTGCAGTCTTAAGGTGGTGTCCCCCCTTAAGCAGAAAAAGCAGATTGTGATTGCATAAATTTTTTGCAATATTAGACACTCTAGTCAGATACCCTAATTTGTGCTGATTATAATTGTGCTCTATAGTAATAAATGCCTCGTGTAGTAATGGTCTTATATACCGTGTTTTTGGGACTATAAGTCGCACCCTTGTATAAGTCTCACTTCCGTATATTGAGCCGTTTTCGGAGAAAAGTTTTTTAGTTTGCATGATCGCACAGTATATTCGATGAGTTTTTTCGTTGTACGCTCATCGGTATCGCGAAATCGGAGTTTCGCACAATCGCCTAGTTCACACGTACCGTTTGATGTGCAACAAGTTTGACGTTTCGCACAGTGCTGTCTGGCGATGGCGATCGAGTGTTTCGCTGTTAAAGGGCTTAAACACGCAAACTGTGAAGGTAGTTGGCTTTATTTGAGCGTACACATGCCACTAGGCCTTGTCTTGGCCAAGTCACGGTGATGACGTGAGCTTCAATGCGCAGGCAGATAGATAAAATCTTAAATCTTGACACACTTCTTTGTGTGTACTGCTAAAACATCAGCTAGCCGCAACCTTTCCTTTTACATGTAGCAACACAACTGGAGCATGGCATATGAAAACTGCTCATCAATAGAAAACTAGGAAAGACACGAGAAAATTTTCTGCAATGCGTGTATACCATCCCACTTAACTTTCAGTGTTAGTGAACGGAATCAAGAGAGTACAAAACTACGGTTGAATTAGGCAATGTCGATCACATGCTGTAAAAGCTTTATTTTCACTGTCTTGCCTATCCACATTGAGCCGCTTCGAGGAAACCATAAAATTTTTCGCTTTCCAAGTCGGTTATGAAAAGTGTAGAAGAGTGCGGCGACAGCAGTGCCTGTTGGAAGGGGCAACACCACCTATGGCTTCATAGTTATGGTTCTCCAAGAAAAATGGGGTGCAAGACATAAATAAAGTGACGTCTTACCGTGAATTAGGAAAAAACTTATAAGTCTCATCGTTGTATAAGACGGACCTAGAGAAATGTTTGAAAAGAACTGCGACTTACACACCGGAAAGGACGGTATTTAACCGGCTCTGTAAAGTGGTAAGGGAATTTCACTTGGAAGTGTCGGGGAAAAGCTGGAAAAGTCGGGGAATTTCAAAATAATAATTTGCTAGACACCCTGAATGTACGACCTGCCACATTGGCTCCCAGCTTTTATTTTGATATTATAGTGCAGTGTCACTGACTGAAGTCTGTACATTTACCTTTAATTGGCAGATCGAAGGAATTGTTGATCTTGCATCTAGTGTAATTTTTGATGATAGGTTTTGGTATTTATTTTGGTTTGTATCTGTCACGGAATAAGAATTAAACTGGGGGAAAAAATGCTAGGCTCACTGTTTCTTACATTGCTAGTTAGAGGTTTAAGAAAGGCAGGGTATAGTTTGTTACATTATCACTCCTTGTTTCGTAATTCCTTTTGGCTTGCGTTGCCATTTCTCCGACTAAGGAATGATAATAAAATACTTGGGACGCGCCACACCCCGTGCTCCTTCACCTGTTGGTGAGGGTAGGCATTCCCTTCGACGCGGTTGTCTCATTCCAAGTAGCACTCCAGAGGAACGCCGAACTTGGCGCAAGCTTGGCAATCTTAGGGACCTAACTTGGGTCTAATGCTGTTTTTCTCCGAGGCGTTAGTGCCAAAAGTGTATCTTTGGCAATTCTACGACTTTTGTCCGGCTTGCCTCATAATTGTCCAAGTGCCAAACATAGCAAAAGATGCCGCGTACGAACGAAGGGAAAATTAGGGCCGAGATACCCAGACTCTGACCAAAGAAAGTGGAGTTTGGCTCTACCTTGGCTTCCTAGGTCTTTTAAGGTCCCAATTTTCCGAACAAAAACAAAATTTTTGCCCAAAGAGAACTGCGCCCTTTTGCCCCGCCGCTCTCTTCGCACGCTCAGGTCCCGAGCAGCCGCAGGGGCAACTGTCCCCTCAGCCTCCGTCGACCGGTGCCCTCCTGGGCGTGCCGGGGGCGAGCGGGCCCGGCCCTACGCCCGGTGTGCCAACTGACGTAGGTGGCGCGGCTGCCGTTGGCGGTGCGGCTCCCCCCAAGCCCCGGCGGATGCGCTTCGTGCCCCACTTCAAGACGCTGGTGGAGGGCCGGGAGAAGCGCAAGATCGCCAAGACGGAGAAGGCCCTGATCGCAGACATGGAGGCGGCCGCCCACAAACGGGGCGCGGGGGCCTCTGACCGCAAGCGCAAGAGGACCTCCAGCACCCGCAGCGACAAGTCGGACGAGGGAGGCAGCAGGCGCCCCAAGGACGAGGCGCGCAGGGCCAGGGTCTCCGAGACAGGTAAGACCCCGCAGACGTTGCTCTAACATTCTGAAAGGGGACACTACCCAAGAGGGTGAACCTTTGAGCCTATGGCCTAATATGAATGAAATTTACAGTATGTACTGGCTGTTGTGAGGCAGAATGCAGTGCAAAGTTTCTTCCGTGTACATGAATTGTAAAATAAATTATAGTTGTTTTTTTTCGCAAACACACTGACTTTGTTTAGGAAGACCATCTTTAGGAAACTACCCTAATGTAATACCCAACATTTTTCTACTCTAGATTTGAAGCAGGATGCCTGGAGAGTGCAACTGTGAAAACAAAATTTCCAGAGAAAGTACTAGTTTATTTTATGCTAACGTCACAGCACAAATCAAATAAAATTTTTGCCTTTCATGTTGTTGAAAAAATCTTAACATCTTTTATAAAAGACATCCACAAAGTCGAAAAAGGATTCCACAGTTGCATTGCCCATAAAATTCCAGTTTGGAAAAACAATGAGTGAGCTTTTCCTCTTGTTCCATTAACCCCTTGCCTACTAATAACGAGTGTCACTCGTGCCGCCATTTACGGACCATAAAACCCGACCACGAGTGTGACTCGTGTTTCGGTTTCAGAGCTTGTTTTGTGAGCTCTGCGGCAGATGGCAGCACCACCCCTGTTGCTCCTGTTTACCTTGGGTTCTTTTTTTGTTTGCTTTGTCTTTTGACAGGGAGAGGGCGCTCCATTGACAAAAAATAAGCGCGCTATTGTAAGCAAGCGCGCCAAAAACATGTCTTCGGCGCGGAGGTCTGCTTTGGCGGACGAAGATATACAAAGACTTCTTTTTGAAAGTGATGAATGCGCCAGTATTTCTGACGACGAATCCTGCTGCCTTTCCGATTACTCGGAATCCGATGAGAGTTCAACGGACAGTGAGAAAAGTGTTGAAAACGATGCGAATCCTGGAAGCATTTCATCGACTTCGGCGTCTGCACGTCAGTGGAACTGGGAGAAGAGGGACAACCAGCCTGCTCAGTTCACCTTTGTAGAAACCCCAGGTGTGTCAGCAAAAGTTCAACGCAGTCTTGGTGAGAAGACAAGCGCCTTGTCAACCTTTTCCGTGTTTGCAAGTCATGATTTTTGGGGGTCTGTCTCTGCTGAGACAAATCGCTACGCCGAACAAGAGATGGGCGACGAGGATCGTCCCAAGAAATGCTATGAGGAGCAATGGTTTGACACCACTCCGGATGAGATAAAGGCATACTTTGCCTTGTGCATCATTATGACACAAGTGAAAAAACACACAGTCAAAATGAACTGGTCCAAGAGGTCCATAGTGGAGACCCCAATTTTCGGCAAAACGATGTCCTATGTGAGGTTTCTGCTAATCTCTCGATTTCTATCATACTGTGAAGAACTACTGAAGAAGAGGAGACGACCAGAAGTCCTGGTATAGAGCACGAGACTACGCCTGAAAGCCAAGGAAACGTTTTTCTTTATTTTGACGCAAATTGCTTGATTTAATTAAAGCTTTCTGTGCGATCTTTAAAGAAAAAAAATGAGTAGGCAAGGGGTTAACAAACGATAGTTTTCCTAAAATGGAATTTATGCTAGAAAGTGTAATGAAAAAAAAATGCATCCAAAGTGCTCCAACCCCTACCTTTTCTTTAGGATCGGTGGACAGGAAAATATTGATAAAAAGTTAACTACGCACTGTAAACTAATGAAACTTTCTGCGGATACCCTCTAAACGTTGATAGATGTAAATATGGCATTTTTCAAAATCAACTTTTTAGGGGCGAAGCTCCTTAGGGTCTAGCCTTGTCTGTCCGGCATCCGTGCTCACATTGATTGCCATCCCATCTTTCTTCTTAAAAAAAGAACAAATGTTTGCACAGTCGACTGGATTCGAACCTGTGCGGGGAGACACCAATGGCTTTCTAGTCCTTTGCCTTAACCACTCGGCCACGACTGCGGGACGAGTAGGGGGCTCTGAGATGTGGTAGTAACTCAAGAGCTGGGGATGTCATGGATGAAACGTTGCATGTAGCCGCTCAACGTCTATACAGGAGAGGGCGCTGCGGCCAAATGCTCAAATGCGTATTTAACCACGTTCCATAGCACTCATTCTCTTTCTGACATGAATGAAAACGAACGAAAAACACCATCAACACTACCTATGAACAAAATCAGTATCATCAGCACCACCAAAGCTTTGCCCCAATCAACATCATTCACCACGTGAAGATGCGGTCATTTTGTTTTTTGGAAAATGTTTTTTTTTTATGGGTAGTGTCCTTCTTTTACTTGCGGGAAAGTGGCAAAGTTGTAAATGTACACAAATACTATGCCCAGATATCTAGACACAAACCCACGTAATACTTGCTCGAGTCCAATTGTTGCAACCCTAACGCTCGTCCCATGGGGGTCCGGGCCTAGATGCCGGCTTGGGCCAGAGCATGGACGGCCTGGACGGGTTCCCTGCGCCCAGCAAGAGCAAGAAGAAGCGCCACTCCATCACGACCCCCTTCGACCCTTCCCTGTCGCCCTTTTTCGACGGTATGGGTTTCCCCTCTCACTCACGTCGCGACGTCGTTGGTTGACTATTCATTTTGGTATATACTCCGTTTCACCTTACGTCCGGATGCAGCGTACGCTACGAGTTATCCTAGCCAATCCTGTTCTTGTAGACGTGGCCCGTGATACACCTTCTGCACGTCGCTGTGCCCTCTCTCCAAGGTCACATGACACTCGCAAGGCCTTGGATTGGCTCTGATGGCTCGTAACATCCGCTGCGTTTGGACGTAAAATGAAACTGAGTAGTGTCATCAAACTATCAAACATTTTGGTAGTCATCAAAGTCATCTTCAAAACGCTTGCCCATTTTGTTAGTGTAGCTGTAATCGGTGTGTTTTGCCCATTCATATCTTACTGACTGTAGTACTGCTGGTGAGCAGGAACGAAGAAATTTTGGCAGAAAAATGACGTAGCAGCGTTGCCAACGGCGCCACGCGGCGTTGCCCCCTTAGTAGGCGACCCGGTCACGTGACCGCCGCCCTTGAAATGTGGAGGGCGAGGCATCTCGCGCCAGATGTAGCGAATTCGCCGAGTCGGTACTTTCGAACTTTGGCGGTCGTTACCGTAGCGCCACCGGCGCAGTAGGGCTCCCTGTGGGTGGCGCCTCACATTCATTGGCTCGCGTACGCGATCGTGCCACAGCAGCAACCAAGTGTTCTCGTGGCAGTCGCCGTATGCATCTCGATTTTAATTGATTTCACTTGGATTTACCAACCTTAAACATATTATATGCGTATCGATCTCATCAGGTACGACCAAAGATGCAGAGAAAACATTTTTTCACGAAGAATGCATGTACGAGTTGTTTTCTATGAGAAAATAGTCGGGGACGAGCGTAAGAAACGAGCGTCGGGATTGGACATCATGAGCGAGTGTCACAAACGAGCATCATGAACTAGCAACACGCAGAGAGCCTCGCGCAACTTTAGGCTTAGGAAGTGCTAAGTGTAGAATAATCGTGAGAGAGACACCTCAACGGGGCTCAAATCTGGGTTAGTGGGCGGTCGGGCACTATAGCCAGTGAGCCGGGACTTGTAGTTGGGCTATTTAGTGCACATGCTCCGAAAAGTCGTAAGCACAAGCGGAGACCAACACAAAAAAGTCGCGCTCGTTCGTGCGCCACTTCTTCTTCTCCGTCTTTGTCTACGCTTCTCCGTCTCTGCCTGTGCCCCCACTCGGTGTTCATGCAGTTTAAATATATATCTGTTGGGTTGATGTTTGTAACAAAAGTGGTGCTCTGCGTTTTTTTTTTCTTGGGGTAGTGTGTATTGCTTTTTTTTTGAGGAGCGTGGAAGCTGAGTGTGGCGTCACCCCATTGCAGCGGCCAGGGACGCCTTTGGCCAGGGATCCGACGGTCTGACGGCCAGCGAGGGAGACGTGTCGGTGGAAGTCAAGAGTGACGAGGTGGTCCAGTGCGCCTGCAACTGCGTCGAGGAGAGCGGCCTCATGATTCAGGTCGGCCACCGCATGCCTCCGCGTGGCGGTCCCAAGAATATAGGTTTTTTTTTATTTTCACGTCCGATATGAATGTTTACTTTTACAGCGGAGCTGTTAAGGGCTAGTTTCCCCAGGATTGTGCCCCCCGCAAAGAAATGTCGACACAAAACTCTGGACATCTACCGCCATCTGTGAGCGACGGCGGCAACCAGACAATCGGCTTGCCGGCCTTGCTCGTAGGTGGCGACAACCTCTCCAGCCTTTCCACTCTGGTTTTCACCAGAGGGGAAAGGCTGAATTTCTCTAGGCGTCGTCCTCGAGGTTGTTCTAGAAGTCGTCCTCGAGGTCATCTTAGAAGTTGTCCTCGAGGCCGTCCTAAATGTTGTCCGAAAAGTTGTCCTCGAGGTCGTCCTAGAAGTTGTTTCTGAGGTCGTCCGTCCTTGATGTCACCCGAGAGGTTCTCCTCGAGGTCGTCCTAGAAGTCATTCTTGAGGTTGTCCTAGACGTTGTCCTCGAGGTCGTCCCAGAAGCCGTCCTTGAGGTCGTCATGGACGTTGTCTTCAAAATCGTCCTAAAAGTTGTCCTAGACGTCGTCCCTGAGGTTGTCTAGATGTCGTCCCTGAGGCCGTCCTCTAGGTGTCGTCCTAGAAGTCATTCTTGAGGTCTTCCTAGACGTCCTCCTCGAGGTCGTCCCAAAAGTCGTCCTTGAGGTCGTCCTAGACGTTGTCTTCGAAATCATCCTAGAAGTCGCCCTTGAGGTCGTCCTAGACATTGTCTTTGACGTCGTCCTTAGGCGTCGTCCTTGAGGTCGTCTGACCATAGTACAGCTTCGCTGGTCTTCCTTCTTCACCAGAGTGGAAAGGCTGAAAGTTTTTACTGATATTTGTTTCGAGACAGGCTCGTCGAAGAGGAATACCTAAGTGGCGTGTTTTCCTAGCTATTAGGATATGAGGGTAAACGAAGGAGGCGCGAGCTAGCAATGGGCCGACCGAAGAGTGTTGCGACTCCGCTGCTGGGCGGTCGCTTTGTGTTGGGCGGATGCGTCTCGGCCCGATGCACGGAGATGATGTATTTCCCTAGAGTCAAAGGTGCCGCGCGCGCATTTAAGCCGCTTCAGATCGGCGAGGCATGGACGCAGACGTGGGAGTTCCGTTGGGACCGTACTGCTGGCGACGCTTTGATATACACGTAGAAGCGGAAAAGTATCACTCGCAAAGTCTGCATCTATGCGGTAGAACCTCGTGGATACGTTTTTCTTGGGACCGGTTTAACTAAATGTATGATTCGTTAAAATGTAAGGAACGAGAACACCATTCGCAGGTGTGAACTTGCGTTGGCTCAGAAAGCGTTTGTAAACATTCGTAGGTATAAACTGAAATAAGCATGCAGTAAAAGTTTGTAGGCGTGACCTGCAATACATTCAGCGAAAGTTTCTAAACATTTGTCTGTGTGAACTCGAATACCTTCAGAAAAAGCTCGCAATTTTTTCACCCGGCGCTTTGGGTGACTGAAACGCATGCGAGCGACGCAGTGCCGTGCATGCGGTCTGTCTGCGCGCAGTCGTGCGCAACACTTCGGTACACCAAAGCCTTAAAAGAAGTCGCTAGAAGAGTTTGGACTTGAGGTTCTTTACACGGACCCAGAGGAGTACTGGGAATTGCAGCATATCAGCCGGGCGAAGTTCCTGTAACTTTTCTCAGTGTGTGGAAGTATGAACCCACCAACAACTTGGACCAGCAAACGAACGAAAAGAGACCAGAGCACAATGACGCACCGTCTTTGTGTAGCTTGTTCAAAGGAAAAGATGTGTACCGTAATATCCCGAGTCATCGCCCACCTACCGAGTTATCGCCCACCCCCGTTTTGGGCGATTTCGTAAAAAGCACCGAGCCAACGCCCACCCGTTTCCCAATCGATCTCATAAAAAAAGCACCGAGTCATCGCCCAGACCTGAAAAAGTCAATTCCGAGCCCCACAAATGGCAAGCAAAAAAAACAAAAAAAAAAAAAAGAAAGGGCGCCCTCCTGCATTTTCACGACTCCAAAATCGGAGGATGCGTGTGCAGAAGAAACACAATAAAGATAAGAAAGCGAACCTATATTTATCTGGCTAACAAAAGCAGACAGGTTTCCGATCCTTTCTCACCTGCCCGCACCCCCCTCCCCCCCCCCGAAAAAGAAACAAACATAAAAGGAGGGTCAAAAAAGATCATAGGAGGGAGAGAAAGAGATAACAGAATGCCGCTTTATGTTCTTTTTTCTGTTCATAACTGAAAGTCCGTTTTCACTGAAAAGATAAGTCCGGCCGCGAAACCTCAACTTAAATAGGACGCGGATCGGATGACTAACTCAATACTGCGAATACAAGTGGTTCAGAACAAAAAGCCTCGTTTGGATTCGATTTTCTTTGTCCAAAACCTACTCCGGCCGACTTGGCATTCTTGAGAACGTCGCGACCACTCCGCGCGAAGTCGGAGTACGTTTATAGAACGCCGCTTCCTTTTGTTCCTAACTGAAAGTCCGTGTTCGCCCAAAAGATAAAAAACGCCCATCGGTAAACCGCAAAGGGGGCAAACACAGAGGCATTCTTTGCGAATGCCGCGACCGCCGTGTGCCTACCGGTAGTATAAGCCTGGAAACAAAGCGTCATTTTCCTTTCCTGAAGCATCACCCCCCCCTCCACAAGCCGATGGGGCGCCGGTGCAGAGCGTAACCGGTGGCTGCGTTCTGAGAATAACCAATGGCTGCGCTCCTTGTCGGTGCCCAATTGGCCTTGGCCGCCCGCAGCTCCGGTTGTACTGCCACAGAAAGTTGTCTCGAAGCCGCGCTTGCGCACGCACAAACTCGAAGGTCATTGAGTCTGTGCGTGCACGCGCTTTCCGCGGCAACGGTCGCGCCCGCAGGGAGAGCCTTTTTATGGTTTTTGCTTTTGTCATCTTATTTTTGCTTTTGTACTGGGTTCGTTTTAGGCGTCGGTTAGCTTGGTTCCGAAGTCGAAAAGGAAGCGGGGACTCGCTTCCCTTTCGGCTTTCGTCACCTTTGCTCGGTCACTGTGGCTTCTTGCTATTTTTCTTTTCTTTTTATTTTTCGATGATTCTCTTCTTTTTTTTTTTCCCGTTCACGTTGGACCGAAGGCTGCAGCGGTCGTGGCTTCGAATTGCGCTTGCTCGGAGGAGGCGGAAACGAGCTACCCGCGAAGCAGTGGATTTTGCTCGACAGTAAAATGAGTCGCAAGTAAGATACCAACCCGAGATTTGAGTTCAGTTAATCTCCTGTCTAGCTTCACTATACACGGACAAAAAAATCGCATTTTTAATCTTTTTCGAAACTTTTTGAGCTCGGTACCCGAGTCATGGCCCACCCCACAGTTTTTGAGAATTTCAGGCGGTAAGGGGGGGTTGGCGTTGACTCAGGATATTACGGTATATTTTTGTCGCCGGACCAGACTTGTTTAAAGTAAGAAATCTGCGAGTGAAAAGACGCTTTGCTTTTTTAGGAGCGAAACTCCTTAGGGTCTAGCCTTGTCCGGCGTGCATGCTCACATCGATTGCCATTCCATCTGTCTTCTTAAAAAAAGAAAAAAATATTTGTGCAGTCGACAGGATTCGAACCTGTGCAGGAAGACCCCAATGGATTTCTAGTCCATCGCCTTAACCACTCGGCCACGACTGCGGGACGAGTAGGGGGCTCTGAGATGTGGTAGTAACCCAAGAACTGGGGATATCATGGATGGAACGTTGCATGTAGCCGCTCAACGTCTATACAGAAGAGGGCGCTGCGGTCAAATGCGTATATAATCGCGTTAAACTTTGCATGCATTGGCTCAGCGTTTATAGACAAGAGGGCTCTGCGGTCAAATGCTCAGATGCCTATATAACCACGTGCCATACCACACATTCTCTTTCTGACATAAGAAAAAAATCAGCACCATCAGCACTAGCTATGAACAAAATCAGTACCATCAGCACCACCAGAGCTTCGCCCCAACCAACATCATTCACCACGTGGAGATGCAGTAGTTTTTTTTTATGTTCACGCTTTTGATGTATGTGTGGCAGGGTTTGACTCGAAAAGCATTTTGTCTGGCTGCAACGCACCTTTCGTTTTTCTTCGAAAAACAAAACAAAGACGCCGCATTGTTCCCTTCCTTTCCTCTGTCTCGCCGAATCGCTGGTTTATTTTGTCACGCGAGTTTTGGTTCCACATGCAAAGAAAGCTGCAGGAATTTTTCCTGGCTAGATCACTGTAGGTTCCCGTAGTCCTCGGGGTCCATGTGAGAGGCTTAATGAGTCCAGACGAGGGGTCAAAGTAATGAAATGAGGTTTGCCGACGACAACGTACCGAAACACGGGAACGGCCAGGAGCGCGTGTGCTGGCGGGAGGCCAGCACACACGCTCCTGGCCGTTCCCGTGTTTCGGTACGTTGTCGTCGGCAAACCTCATTTCATTACTTCTCTGCGGTGCACGCGAGAACGTGTCGGGCACTCGTGAAGACAGGAGAGGATTACTGCGAGAATGTTGCCGGAATCGCGGAGGTTGCTCGTGCCGATGGGGCGCCCTCTTGGGACACGCGCCGCCGGCGACTGTGGGGATACGAGGAAGTAACCCGAAGTGGATACTCACGCGTGTCGAGAAGCTTCCGTCAAAACTCGTCTGGCACCCTGCGCTCCGTCCCGCACGTCCCTCCGGCCTCTTGTTCGGCGAGACCAAGATGCAACGAGGTCGGGCGAGACCTTTTCGCACCTGTGGTGTGTCGAAGTTTCCCGCATGTGGACGAGGACACAGGCAAACATATCTTCGTGCCCGGGACTCCGTCGTTTGTTCTCCGGCCCTCCTCTAGAAGGACCATACTTGCGTCGTGCATTGGGTTAGTTAAGGTAGTGGCACTTTGCGCTAAGCCTCTCGCGGTGTTATGTCTCTCGCGGCACGTAAGAGCGGCGTGGAACAATTCCTTTTCATATTAATGTGATAGCGCCGCGAGCGTAGCGATAAACTTGACGTTAGCTCTTGGACGACGGTGTTACCGTGCAGTCGCCAAGTGGTTTGGTCGATCCTCACTCCCGCTCGCGTCCCCCTCTGTGCGAACGTGCTCGGGAGGCAAACTGGGCGGATGGTTCACAGACGTTGCACCATCGATCCGTCCGTGAATCGATCCATCGTGCGAATCGGTTGGCATACCGTGTCGGCGGCTTTTTGGACGTAAGAGGCTGGAAAAGAAATGCACTTAGCAGGAAATTAATATGTGTTCCCCCGGTCTGCAGTGCGAGGCCTGCCTAACCTGGCAGCACGGCTCCTGCTTCGGCATCGAGGAGGAAAAGAGCGTGCCGGACAGGTACATCTGCCACCTCTGCCTCGGCCCCAGAGGTGAGGGAGGTGAGGGCACGCATAGGGGCCCACTCTGCACACACGCTTCGCCACTTTGCTCATCGCGGCAGGACCAACGTCGTTGCAACTGTGTGCGACTACCTACGACGAGATAACGCACTGGCACCGTCTGCCAGGTTGCCCCGGAACGCTTTGGTTTTGCGTACCTTCGGTTTCAAATGGGACGCATATTGAAAACGAGGTATTTTTACGTTGCTTACGCGGATGTAGGTAACGGCGACTTTGGTTTGTTTCTGTGCGGTGGGGATCGCGGCAGCCCCGATCTTCACTTGGAACGTCGCCGCCGTCTATGCGCGTCGCATTCTTTCTTGCGAAACGGGGAAAGGTGCAATTGTCGTTCGAGTGGCCCGCGAGATATCGGTCAGGAAAGCTGATTTGAATCTAATGGTAATTAACTAAGCCTAATTAATGCTTGGTTATTCCAACCAAGCCCTAATTAGGCCGTCAATTGTTGAGGAGCAGTATTTTAATTTTTTTTTTTCTAGCTGTATTTTTGTTTTGTTTTCTTTTTCCAAGCTTGCCCCAACCTTGCCCTAGTTTTGCCCCAATTGCACAGACAGCTGTCAAATGTGGACGTTCAAATCTTCAACATTGTATAGCTAGTGCAAATGTTTTGCGCTATTTGCGAGATCGAATATTTATGCCGTCTATGATCGCCTACGGCTAAGGATCTGTGTTTTCGGATAAATCTACCAAAAATTTGGAAACGCTCGCCACTAAAATTTTTGCGGATTCAGATTTATTAAAAAAACTCCCAACTTGGGAACTGCCATTTTTCCTGGTGCTCTATTTTCCTGGCACCTCAAAACAACTCTCACGAATCTTTTTTTTTTCTTTTTTCACCTTTGTGTAGAAGTTTTACAAAAAATGTCTCAACCTTTATCGCAAAAGGGGGCTAACATACGTGCAACAGTAGTCGGACGTGTCTGGCTTTTTGACCAGCTCACGTCTGGGCATTCTTGTCGGACGTGTTCTTTCACTAGCCGCTTCTTAGTCTCCTCTGGTTGAAGATTGAACTTGCACAGGCATCCCCTCGCCCCATCTGCGTTTGCGACTGGGCCTTGAGATTCGATCGGCCTTTCTCGGTACCTGCGCGCGACGGGCAGAAAGCGAACGCTCCCCGTCAATTAGGCGGGGCATTTGTTTCACTCGAGTCTCTCGCACGTATCTCTTGATACAGTTATCGCAGTCTTTATTGCCATCAAGTTTTTCCACCTGCAAGTTAACAAGAATAAACAAAAAGGCACCCTTCACATTGCTGAGTAGTTCCAGAATTCCAATCGGCAGATCCAGGTGAAGACACTTTGTCTCAAAGTCAGAGGGGCGTATTTAGTTAGCTGCACGCACTTATTTCCAACAATCAAAATTACAGTCGCCGACTGATTTTTCGGATTTCCCCGGGACCGAAGAAATGTCAGAATAATACAGTATAGACCACTTACAACGTAACCGCTTATAGTGCAGGACCGGGTATAACGCGGCTTTTTTAAACCACTGGTTTGCCTCCCATAGAACTCCATGTGATTACATACCGCTTAAAATGCAGGCGCGCGAAGGTAAATACCGGTTATAGTGCGGTTTCCGGAACAACCGGGGCAGCGAGCACGCTTCCCTGTGCGACACTAGATAACGGCGCGAGCCGCAAGCGGCACTCGCGGGGCAAGGAGGTTGCTCGAAGAAACGGGGAGCAGCGAAGAGAGGCTTCAATTGCCATAGCGATGGAGGGACGTACGCACGTGTCGTTCAAAACAACCGCAACGACGGACCAATCGCAGGTCGAGAAGTGTTCGCGCGCGTTGCATGCCGGTCGCGGGCCAGCTGCTTCTATCCGCAAACATGGTGTCGGTTGTGATCGTCGACGTAGACGGCGGTCTAGTTCACTTTAACGGCGTGGTGGATGCTCATCGTTCCGCGTAAAAGCGCTATCCTTGACTGAATTTTCGTTGTGTGTCGCTATGATAACCCAGCACGTACTAGAAGACAAGATCCACCTACTCGTGCGGCGATGTTGTGGCGGCACTCTCAAGACGGCAGAAACGCCCGTGTCGTTGTGTTTGTTTACTTCGACTACAGTGTTGCTTTCTAAGCATTTGTGTTTTCGAACATTGCCCGGATTTCTTATTTGGAGCATTTCATGCCTGTGCTCAAGTTGAAGGTATACTGGCGCGTACCGTATAAAGGATGCGAAGTTTCACGCGTTTTCATCACCGGAGAAAAGTGATTAGGGTTAGCAATCCTGAACGCTCGCAACGTCCGTCTGCAACCCGCGACGCCGTTAAAAGGCTGCGCCAGGCAAAAGTCGCTAATTTCTTTCAAAATGTGTGACACACTCGAGAAAGAAGTGTACTAGTCTGGTGGAATAAAGACTTCCCTCAAACTAACCTTTATTTTTCATCTAACATAAAATAAATTTTTTTTTACAAAGGTAAGTTGTCTCATGGCAGGTATTTTGGCCTGAAAAATTGATGTTTTGGTTATAGCGCGGTATCGCTTATAGTGCGGATTTTCGCGACTCCCGCGGCATACGTTATATGCGGTCTACACTGTAGAGCAGTCCGAAAAATAGGAAAAACTAATAAACTTACCTTTAATGCGTCTAAGCGGGTTTAAAGAAGCCGTACACAGTGCCTCGCTACAGGTTGCGCCTAAGCACCCTGTTTCAGATTACGCCTCCGTTTGCGTTCGGCAACTTCCTATTAGCTTGAGAATCGCCGCCTTCTTCTCTAGCGTTATGGTCGAGTACTTTCTGCACCACTTAGCTACACACCGCGGCGGTGGAAGAACAAATTTGGCAATGACGTCCAAGCCAGCGCAGTCCGAAAACACTATTCACCAAGATGAGATGAGAGGCGCAAGTTCACGACTGCAGTGGCGCATGAGCAAAGCAAAAGGGTAACAACGAGGATAATGATAATGATGTGCAGCTAGAGAATAAAAAGCCGTACAGCATCACCTAGCAGTAGGACTTGGCAGTACTCAAGTAGTGCTGCCTAACCAAGCCGATCCTTGCGCAGCCAACATAGTATCCAAGATGGCCACTTCTCAATGGTGTTTCTCGCTAATCGCTCACGACGATTTTGTCCGAAAAATCTAACTTCCGGAGTTCAAGCTGTCCAAAACATTGGTCGTGAATGTACAGTATTTCTATCGAGTAGGTCACGGTTCCTCCTTTAAGTCTGAAATATTGTAAAAGTCCAAATTATCGGCTTTCGAAAAACCGGTCGGCAACTGTATTGTGGATGGCCCACCTCTTATAGTGTTATCAGTGAAACTTGATGAATTAACTCACTGCCGTTCCGTACCTGGGCCAATAACACTGAACATCCAGAAAACTCATAATTTAGTGAACATCGAATGAAAGCCTAAAGGGCCACTAAAACGATATTTGCGATCCTCGTTTTAAGGTCATAACTCAATCTACGGTCACTAAGCATTCTAAAAGAATCCAAAATTTTGTTCATGCGCGGCCAGTTGTGTATTTAAAAAGTGAACAGAGTTCCCGACACTTACCTTTGGCGCAGAACGACAGATGGTGCCATCGAACCTTGCTTACTAGGATTGAACGACGGCCGACGTATGTTTTACGCGAGCGACGGGTTCCCGCGTGGACGAGCGGCCGACCATTCCCGCTCGTCCACGCAGGAACCCATCGCTCGCGAGTGGCTGACAAGCGCCGTCCGTTGTTCAACCATATTCAGCAAGGTTCGGTAGCGCCATCTGTCGTTCTGCGCCAACGGTAAGTGTCGGGAACTCTGTTCACTTTTTTAATACGAAATTGGCCAGGCATAAACTAAATTTCGTGTTTTTTTTGTTTTTTCTTCAGAATGATTACAGCCTGTAGATCGAGTTATGGCAATAAAACGGGGATCTCGAAAAGCACTTTAGTACCCCTTTAATGAAACTCTGAATTTGAGGTAGAAACTAAACTCGATAAAACACCCTGCGATTTTGCTCAGAAATAAACTCGGAAAATGCGGAACTTCGCCGATAATGTGGTCAGACCTCACCGTTGTGAAAGCGGAGTAATGCACTTTCACGCGTACCTCACATTCTTTTCTGTATACCACGTCGTCCCGTGCTTTACGTGATCAGTGTAACTTTGCAACGCAGTATACCGCACAATGCGAAACCAACTAGACCAAATCCAAGCATTGTGGGCCTACCCGTTAGGTGGCACTGGCGTATTGTCTCGTTGTAAGCAGTCGCAAGCGGTGGCAGAAATCTCTGAACCAGCCTTCCCCCGCCTGTTGCTTTGCTCAAAGGCATAATGCTGTAGCTGCGCTTGTACGCCACAAATGGCTTTGTTTGCTCTTTTGCATCTCTCACCAATGCTGTAAATCTGCGGAGTGTTTTGTTTTGTGTTTTGCGTGACTGAAAAGGTGCTCTTAATAGGAGGGTGCTTGAAATAACGGCGCTGTCTTTTGGGCATAATGTTGCCGGCTGCGGCCGACAGAAGGGGAGCTTTGAGTTAGCTTAGTGGGCGTGCAAAGTTTGCTCATTCATATAGCGCGTTTTTCAGTTACTATTAAGATTGACCCCTAATTTTTACAGCGGTGCTGTTAGGGCAGGGTTCCCCAGGATCGTGTTTGGTAGCAAACAAATGTTGACACAAAATTCTGGACAGCTACTGCCATCTATGAGCGACAGCGTCAACCAGACAATCGGTTTGCTGGCCTCGCTCATAGATGGCGGCAACCTATCCAGCCTTTCCACTCTGGTTTTCGCCAGAGTGGAAAGGCTGAATTTCTCTAGTCGTTGTCCTCAAGGTCGTCCTTGAGGTTGTCCGAGAGGTTGTCCTCAAGGTCGTCCTAGAAGTTGTCTTTGAGGTCGCCTTAGACGTCGTCCTTGATGTCGTCCGAGAGGTTGTCCTCGAGGTCGTCCTAGAAGTCATTCTTGAAGTCGTCCTTGAGGTCGTCCTAGACGTTGTCTTTGAAATTGTCCTAGAAGTTTTCCTTGAGGCCGTTTTAGACGTCGTTCTTGAGGTCGTCCTAGACGTCGTCCCTGAGGTCGTCCTTGAGGTCGTCCTTGAGGTCGTCTAGATGTCGTCCTAGGCGTTGTCCTCTAGACTTCGTCCTCGAGATCGTCTTAGATGTCATCCTTGAGGTCGTCCGATTATAGTACAGCTTCGCTGGTCTTCCTTCTTCACCAGAGTGGAAAGGCTGAAGGCTTTTTTAATCTGAATTAAAAAAAAAAAGGTTTATTAGTATTTATACGAATATGATAGTTTCCCACGGCCATCAACGTTTGCGTGAAACAAGTTGCTCGAAGGGGCTGGCATTTCCACCTCGTCTTACGTTCTTCTATCGCGGCATCCCCAAGGATAGACTGGCAATTGCCACAAAATTTGATCGGCCTGGAAGCGTTTGGGAATCGGCAGAAGCATTGGGAGATACAAAGAGATTTCAATAGCACACTCGGTTCCTGCGTTTGCAGTTCCGTTCCTAATTTTAAATCGATAGCCGTAGAAGTACCAAAATATTTTTCTCAAGTTCCCAGGTGGTTGCGCCCTTGGACAGAACAATGTCGTCATCATTGCCTTGTTTCGAGCCCTTCATCTTTCCATGTCAGTTAAGGTGCTCCGGCAAGATGGTCAGGGACAACCCGGAAAGGTCGTAGGAACTATAAAGTTATGCAGGCTCGACCGTGCTGGCAAAGACCGGGGGGCCTGCGCTGCACAGTGGGACCAAGGGACCGGGACAACGCCGTCTGCTGCTATTGGTCGGCAGCACGGCGCCGACCGATCGCAGCAGGCAAAGTTGTCTCGGTCCCTTTGGGCCGCTTGGTTCCGCCGTGTAGCACAGGGCCCCAGGGAGCGCACAACATGAGTAATTTGTGCTTGATTTTCAATTATTTTTTTACCTTTCCTTTTTGTCTATTGTGTTGTTTATGTTTATGTTTGTTATTTATATTTACTTTATTTAATTAGTTCATTCCTTTTTATTTATTATATTTTATTTGGTTTTTATCTTTACTCATTTTTTTAATTATTTTATTCTATTATTTTCATCCGAAACCTGTCACCCTTGTTGGCACGTTTGCATTCAGATAAAGTCATTTACCTTTTCGGTCCAGCTGTGCTATTAGCTCGGTGGCTGTAATAGCTGACTGCCACTGTACTGACCTGGAAGCCTCACCGGCTTCCAGGTTCAAACCTCACCGGGGCTCGAACTTCATATCTAACCTTAACGTCCGCAATGCTCCCAGCACGTCATTCGTTCCTGATGCTCGTTACGACAGTCGTTTGGGACAATTTCCTAGTAGAAAACGACTCGTTAAACACGTTCTGCATGAAAACCATAACAACAGTGCGAGACAGCAACAGACACACAGCACTGTGTGCTGCGTGTATGTTGTTGTTACATGCTCTTGTTACTGTGCTTTACCAACTCATCGGAGCTGCCACCCTCGCATGGCTTCATTCGTGTTAAGACGTAATTACGGTGGACGTAGGAAGGCCGAAGCACCACCTCCAAGCCGGTACAGACACGCGCGTCGGCTGCGACCCTCGCAACGGGGGGCCTCGTAAGCAGCGCGCTTGGGGAGCGGATGCACCGGCCGTATTTCCTATGGCCAACCAATCGCAGATTGAGGAGAGCAGAGACACCCGTGGTTGGTTACTGCAGCTGCGGCTTGCATCGACGTTCGATGTAACTGCGCACCCTAAAGACCGTCGCTCTAAGGACGCAAACGCACTTGCGTCGGTTGACGCACATTGGGCTTACAGCAGTGGTTGTTTCGATAGTGGCGAACGCTACTGACAAGCATGCCTAAACTGGCTTAGACGCTTTTATCTTTTTTTTGCACCCAAACTAAAGCTAGCAAAGAGGGAAGGGAGAAAAGTAAGAGATTTGTCCATGCATTTTTCATGGAGGTAAGTGAACCAAATTTCAGGAGACGTAGAAAGAAAGATTAAGAGAATTATTGATGCAATGGCGACGAGCGCGCGTCGGCCTCAATGTCCAGAGTTACCCGACGGCTGGCACTTTTGAACCCTTGTTTTAAAATTAACGAAATTTACAGGGTAGGCTGGTCGTCATGCTAGAGGGTGTATGACAAAATTTCAGGTCTGTCGGTTAAATGAAAAGGAAATAAGAGTAGCTTCTATCAGCAACACGCCTACGTTGTTTAGTTAATCTATCGTCAGAAAACTATTGCGATATTAAAGATTTTTATTTGCTAGATATGTAGCAGAATGCCTAGAGGGTGCGGCTATGGAACATTTTTTCTAAAAAGTAATTCATTTCTATAAATTTTCTCTTCTGCAAAATTGGTCAACTTTTTGGTCTTCTGTGCCTTCGCCAAAATGTCAACATTTTTTACAAAAGACATCCGTAAAGTGACAAAAAAGTTCCATAGCCGCACTCCTTATTAAATTTCAGTCAGGATAAGGGAAGAATGCGCTTTCCCTGTTTTGCCATTATCAAACGATAGATTGACTAAAATGGAATTTATACCAAAAAGTGGAACGGAGAAAAATGTGTTCAAAGTGCTCCAAACCCTACCTTTTCTATAGCTTTGGTGGACGAAAAATAATTTATAAAAAATTAACTATACAGTGAAAATTAATGAAACCTTTTGGGAATACTCTCTAGATGTTGGTGGATGTAAAGATGTCATGTTTCAAAATCAACTTTTTTTGCAGAAATTTTTTTTTCTGGGCAGTGTCTCCCCTTAACATCCGGACGCAGAGAATATGGTCCGGCACACTTCTAAAACGCCCATTGTTTAGCCTTCGTCGGAAATGGTGTGAAACGGCGCGAGCGTGCAATAAAATGTTTCCACGAGCTATCGAGCCCTGTCTAGCCGTGTCGTTTCTGGCCCCTCGTTTCCCATGTGTCAGGCATGTATGTGGGGATCTGTAAACTTCCATATTTTAAGGTAGCGTGGAACCTTCGCCAAATTTTCATTCGTTGGGCAGGATACCCCCTTTTTTTTTTTTTGCTTTGTTCTCAGAGTGAAGTGCAGTAGCACGTTTGTCTACTAATGTGAGCTGCATTTTGTGAATACCGATAGGAAGGTGCTGTGCTGCTTCCCGACGCAGATGTTTCGAATACATTCGAATGCCCCTAACACGCTAGTATACTGGTGCCTTGTTGCTTCTGCACTGCTTTAACGCCCTGACACGCCTAGTATATTGTATTTTCTGCTGTTGTTTTTTGTCATTTATAAATTTAACCATTGTGCAATGTTTTCTTATAGATGTATTCTCAGCCTTAATGTGCCGAATAATGTTGTGCTTTCTTGCGCTTCCACACTGTTCAAACGTGCCACTTCCCCCTTTTAGCGAACGCGGACTCTCAGGCCAAGGCGGGATGCAGCGAGGGGCTTTGCACAGGTCTTTATTCTTTTCATGTTTTTTTTTTTCTTGCTTTTTTTTGAGCTCGCGTCTTTATTGCGTCTTGCAAGTTTTGACGAGCTTTTTTCTTTTGGCTCTCGGCGCTCTTTATTTCGAGTTGGTCGAGTTGCGTCTCGTATCGCCCGCCCAGCCTGCTCCGTTCCGTGTGCCTTTCCTGCGGTCGCTTTGTGCACGAGCGCACGTGCACGGGTGTGGTCCTTCCTGCTTGCCCTTTTCCCCCTTTGGCACGGCAGACTTTGCTCCGGGTCACGTGGCGCAGCTTTCCCTCCGAGAGAAACGCGGGCGTGCGTCGGAAGAGTGAACCTGCAGTTGGCAACGGAACTGCAATTGTCGTCCTGTCAATATGACCAAAGAAGAGAAGAGACTACACCACTTTTCTCTTTAACTTCTTTTTTTTTTTTTTCGAGCTGCACGTAATGGCGAAAATTGAGGAAGAATGTTTGTTCTGGCGTAATTCGGTCCTCGCTGAGCTTGGCGACATTTTGTCCTGGCTCAAGTTTGGGAAATGCGGGTTCCAACAAGTTGCTTACGATGCAACAAAAAAAGGCATCCATCTGTCGTTTCTCTCGGAGGGAAAAATAGCCATTCGCTGCCTTGCACCAACAGGTTTTGCATTTTGATTTAGGAGCCTGGAAGATTTTGGGTTCTAACGCACGTCGTTTCAAAACATGTGCGACGTACTAGCCTTTTGTGAGGTAGCAAATCTTTGTTACAAAGAAATGTTGTGGGTGTCTGATGTTCTGTTTCCAAATGTTAGGTTTGTAAACATTGGAGTGCAGCATTCTAGTTAGGACATGCTTTGCTTCGAAGCCTTGGCAAGATAAACTTTTTTTTAACAATTGGGCTAGCTGTTTGCTTTTCAATTAAAGCAAAATATAAAATAAACTGTTATAGGGAATGGAGTATCTTTTGAGTCGGGCGTAAGCTTGGCTCGAAATGCATCGGATGATGACGTTCATTGCAAGTAGGGGAAGCAAATATCGGATTTTGGACTGCAGTTTGAATTTCGAGTCCAAGTAAAATATAGATAGCTTAAATAAAATAGCCGATAATATGAATAGAAGTGAATATGAATAGTATTCCAATTGGATATGAGCAAACAATGAAGTGCAGGTTCTTGAACTGTAGTCTTTCTGAACCACATCTCGTCACATTATGAATAGGGTCGCACGTTTTTTCGATAAATCTCAACAACACCAGTAAATGCGTTCCAGTCTCTTATTTTGAAACATATTACTAGTCTTTCGTGTTATGGGGACTCGAGAGTCCTCAGTTGTTTACGGTTCTTTATGTAGTATTTTTATACCTCGCGATCATTCGAAGCAGGCACATACTATAAGGTCATCTCAAACGCGCTCCGAATGCGTAGCATTTATAGGTCCTTCGCTGCGTCACGTCATTATGTGACGCCACATGCCACCGTGACGTTGCGCGTTACTGCGACACTGCGCGACCCCAAAACCCCGCATCATTGCGTCGCACGACACTTTCATTACGTGGCGCGTCGCGTGGCACCGCTATATTGTGTCAGGCGACGCCTTGGCAGGTTTTTTTAACCGAGAAACTCTCACAGCACGGCCTTTGACAGCCTTCTTACGGTGCTCGCAAAAGGAAGGGCATCTAAAGCCCTATAAATGCTACTCATTTAGAGCACTTTCGTGAAAAGTTTCCGTTGCGGGCCGTTTCGGAAACTCTTCTTAGAGCGTCTTCCCCCCAACACGCGTCGTCCACCTCCTCCGTCCTCTGGAACGGCGCAGGGGTGCGCGACAGCTTCCGCTACAAGCACGACCAGGACTGGTTCGTGCGTGGCAAGATGGCGTCCTTCGGCTTCCTGCGGGAGCGCCCCGCGGGCCTGCCGGACCCGGAACCCATCCGGGCGACCCACGACCTCATGTGCTCCATGCACAACGTGCACGCCGTGCTGCGCAGCGTGACCCACAAGCTCAACGTGGCCGGGTGAGTCACTTTCGGGCTTCAGGGAAGCACGCCGGACTCCCGGAATGCTCCTACTTCCACGGTCCCTGCGCGCATGCAGCGCAGCGGTTGCACCCCCCAACGTTCTTATCGAAACGCGACACCGCGCTCGCCCGGGGAGATTATTATTCATTTATTTTTATGTACCGCAGCCCCGGCGGCTCTGTGGCAGGAGTGGGGATTATATATGGACAGTCGCGGCAACGCAGTCGACAAGTGTCGACGGCACGCAGAAATCTGTCCGGTTGTAGTGATCGGACTGGGTAACGAGTTCCGACGTTCAATGGTGCGCCGTTGTCTCTTATTGTATTCAGAGGCGACGTCGCGAAACATTATATTTGCACCCTGTTTTATCTTGGCAGTGCTATTTAGCATTCGGAAATTAGAAGCTGGAGGCGCAGGATACGCGCGAAGCGGTCGCTTTGCGTGTTTGCTGCTCTCGCGGTAGCGGCAGTCGGAACGCCAGCTCTTCGGTCGAACTTCGAATGCTTCTCGGAATTAAATTTCGAGGACGAGAGCTCGTCGTCCGATGGAGAGGCTTTATAAAATATGGTAGGCTCTCGTTAATTCAAACTCCAGAAAACCATGAATTTTGTTTGAATTATCGAAAATTTGTCTAAATATGAGGCGAGATAAAATTGTGACGTCCCATATGGGTGGCTGCACGTACAAAGCAGGTATTTGACGATTTCGTCTGCACAGGCCTACTAATACGGGGTATGTGTCACGCATGAAACATGGGTGAAACGTAAGAGATCTATTTATTTATCCCTCAAAAGCCTCGTCTATCGTGGACTGTTTAGACATCACATGACAGCTCAAAACAAAATTAAGTTTGTCTATCCAACAAAAACGTTGTCTATTCCAGTCTATTGGCCTCGTTGAGGGCACGTCTTGCCGAGCACCGACGCGCTGCGGAGAAGCAACATCTGTGGAAGCGAGCTCTGTGGGTGTTGCTCCTCCGCAGTGGCGCTCCGAAAAAAGCGCGCTCATTGGAGCCGGGAGAACAAAACTTGAATTGCACGAAAACACCGTTTGAATGGAGCGGCTCAAAATGCATTAAAATTTTAGCGGGACAACCAAAAATTTGATACTTGTTCGAATTGGCTGGAAGTGCGAAATATCCGTGTTAGAATTATCGCGAGCCTACCGTACCTCCAGTTCGAGCTCGAGACTGCCAAGTATCGCGGAGGCGGATGCGCCAAAATGGAACCGGATGAAAGAAGGGTGCCGATTTTGCATCCTCAGTATTTCCTTTCGACGCTGGATCATTTAGAAAACTCCGCGCATCGACTCTTTGTGCTATCTCTTTAAAAACAACCTCAGCAGCTGAAACATGCACCTGGGAAAATAAAACGACTGCAAAAGGGTCGAACGAGACCAGCAATTTCTGCCACGCAGTTCGGAGGACCACCCGGACCTGAGGCACTTTGCCAAGCCGTGGGCGTCTGCGCTGGACTTCCCTCCGCCCCGCGGCCCCGGCGAGGGTCCCGCAAGGCCGGGCCTTGCGGGGTCTGCGTACGACCACGCCTACTTTGCGGCCGAGCGGGAGCCCCCCGACGACCTCGCACGGGGCGCCCCGGACGTCATTGTCAGCGCGGGGGTGGACGGCGGCGCAGGAGACCTCCTCATGCAGGTACGCGGTGGATCACTACCTTTCAAAGGGGGAAAAGTCAACTTCTGTACCGCTTGCTTGATCTCAATCAAATTCGCGGTGGAAGTTGATACGAGCGGCAAAACCATCAATCCTGCCAGATTTCATTGTCCCATGTCAATTCTGAAACTTGATGTGAATGTTACATTATGGAAGTCATTTTGTTCACTTAGAAAAACTATTGTTTTAAGATGAAATAGGAATTTGGGATTTTTATGTGGAATATAGTTGTAGGAAATACCCATAGCATATATCCAGCTAGTTATTTCGCTATATTTTATTGTTTTTCGTAAGTATAACGTCATGTCTGCACAGTATAATGTAATGTCATGTCTGCGCTTTGTACAGATGTATTTTTTTTAGCATAAAACAATGTTAAGTAGAAAAACTAACCAGCCAGGTATGTTCCTCACAAAATTCTATCCCAGAAAACCACCTAAGAATAATTCTCTATTGTGTTTAGGAAAACGTTAGTTTTTCGAAAGTGAAATTAATGCCGAAAAGTGGAACGGAGAAAAATGCATTCAAAGTGCTCCAACCCCTACATTCTCTTTAGCATTGGTGGACAAAAATGACATAAAAAATTAACTATGCAAGGTAAACTCGTGAAACTTTCTGATAAATACTCTCTAGATGTTGGTGGATCTAATTATGTATCACATTATTTCAAAATCAACATTTTTTGCAGACATTGTTTTTCCTGGGTAGCATGCCCCTTAAGATTAGCTCTACTTCTCAAATGAAGTCACCCGGACATCAGAAAAGCAATACGAAGCTAACCTTTCACGCGGGGAAAAGTTCCTAGGTCCATAGAACCTGTCTCATGGCTCACGAACACGTGCGGACCCGCATAAAGGTCAAGTCCGCGTATAGGTTGAAGCCTCTAATTTGAGATGCCAATTTTAAAAAAAAAAAAAGCTTGCCTTATACGCGGCAATATACGGTAGTTCCACAAACCGTTTTTGATGACTAATTCCACCGGTCATTTTAAAGCGGTGACAAGATCCAAGATAGTGCACACGGTCCAAACTGAGCCGCTCCACCTTTGGATCCCCAGTGGAACATGAACACTCCTCCTGGATCAGCGCATGCCTTCCCGTCAATCACCTTCCCGGGAATTTCCTTCCCACAGTCCCGGATCCCGAGTCGCATGTTTTTGCAATCACGGCGCTGACAACACGTGTTCAACGCACCAGCGAAGTTAATCATGATGTGAAAGATGCGTTTCGATAAGCGATGTGCATCAGCGTAGCCCACTTGCCTCTTCATTGGTATACTCGTGAACCATGCACGAGTATGTCTCGAGTTTCAACCTCATTGCTGAGGTCCGACAAGGCAGTCAAATTCACGCGGGACATACAAGCAATCCTCGTCGCCGCTGCTACTCGAGCCGTTGCTGCTGCTGAAGGAGCTGCTCGAGCAACCCTAAGACAAGCTGTCATTGAGCCGTAGCAGCAGTAAAGCGGGCGGCACTTAGCAAGTGGCCATTACGAATTCTTCAGAGGCGAAGTGCCCGGCAAGAAAGAAACTCACGTGTATGCACCGAGGGTTGACCTGGCTGGCTTCCGGTCGAATTCACCGAAATCGTCGGAGTGACTTTTCTTGGATCCAAATCGAGATCTGGAGTGGGAGCTGATTTAGAACAACGAGTAAAACATGTCCATCTCGATCCTGATCACCCAGTGAAATGGGCCCGCTCTAGAAACGTTGATCCTGTTGCGCTCCAAAATGACCAATGGAATTTGCCACGAGACCCAGCTAGGCGGACAGCAATTGCCAGCGATTCTTGCTTCAGACGCTTTTTGGTTAAGGTCAGTGTGGGACCGCCCTTGCAAAGGTGATGTGAGCAGAGACGAGTGGCTGGTAAAGCAAGTCATATTATCGTATTTAAACAATTCTAAAACATTACTTAAAATGAAAAGAAAATATTTTTAGGGGAGAAGCTCCTTAGGGTCTAGCCTTGTTTGTCCGGCGTCTGTGCTCACATCGATTGCCATCCCATCTGTCTTCTTAAAAAAAGAAAAAATGTTTGCGCAGTCGACAGGATTCGAACCTGTGCGGGGAGACGCCAATGGATTTCTAGTCCATCGCCTTAACCACTCGGCCACGACTGCAGGACGAGTAGGGGGCTCTGAGATGTGGTAGTAACTCAAGAGCTGGGGATGTCATGGATGAAATGTTGCATGTAGCCACTCAACGTCTATACAGGAGAGGGTGCTGCGGTCAAATGCGTATATAATCGCATTAAACTTGGCACCATCAAAATCAGCACCATGAACACTACCTATGAACAATATCAGTATCATCAGCACCTCCAGAGCTTCGCCCCAATCAACATCATTCACCACGTGGAGATGCGGTCATTTTTTTTTTTTAATTTGGAGTTTTTTTGCGGATGCAATAAAAGCTGCTACTGTACTTCCCACGGCTGTGTTTCTCTATCTAGCTCCAGAGTAGTAATTATTTGGCGCCTCGACATTCTAAACCTACGTCCGTCCGGCATTGCTCCGCGTTTTTCGTCATTCGACCCGCAGGGGTTGCTCGGAGGTTGGGTTCGGTCGTGCTTCCAGCAGTTGCGAGCGGCAATGACAGGCTACATACTTTGTGGTTTTTCATTTATCTGCTCCGGAAGATGCCCCTACGAAGCGTTTGTGTGTTCGATGCTTCCGAAATCACTACGAGACGACATTCGCCGGTACCGGTACTTGATCGAACCTACACAGCGAGACTCGTCGTTCCTTTTACGATCGGATCGCTCTTCGCTCACTGCCAGATTGAATAGGCGCACCGAGATCAAGATGATCGCGGCACTTTCCGCTGGCACATGGAAGGGACCTGTGTTCTCAATTTCTGGGTCTGGCATAAAAAAAGGTTAGCGCCGAGTGTGACCCCCAGCGTTTTTTATAGCGACGTGCTCTGGTAAGTTGACATTAATCACAAACTCTGGTCGACCGCTACGCCAAATGTCTATGCCAGTAAGGCCACGGTCCGTGCGAAATGCTTCGTCTAGGCGCCTCGCTGTGGTGCTACCATCCAGTCGCGTGCTTCCGATAGCATTTTGTGGCGGGCTGTCGGGAGGCCGGCCTGGAAAGAGCCCTGCCCAAAAGTGCCGCGGGGAACGCAGGACCTGTCTCTGGGTGCCCTGGACGTGGGCTGCATCGAGGAAGTGGTCAACCGGGGAGAGGAGTTGCCCTCCTTGGACGCCGGAGAGGGGCAGTCTGGCGCCGCCCAGGAGGCTGGCGACGCCAGGACGGGGAGCGCGGGCAAAGGGGAGGAGGAGGAGGACAGGGAGGCCTGCAGGCGCAACCTGCTCGGACACATCTTCGGCATGCAGGACCAGCTGGAGCACCGGCTCAGCTGCATGGAGGAGCAGCTGCAGAGTGAGCGTGGGGCTTAGCTCTAAAATTACCGTATTTACTCGAATGTAACGCGAGTTTTTTTTCAAATTTCCCTTACCTAATTTGGGGGTTCGCGTTATAATCAAGACGCCTCAAAATTTGCCTTGGCGGTGTCGAAGCACAGGCTCTTTAAAATGGCTACGACAAATCTCGCGATCTTTCAATCTTGTGCTGGCAACATATACACGCTGGAAACAGCCAATCCAATCCTATTCTTGTTTGCGACTCGTTGCGCCCATGTTAGGGTTACGGGTTACCTTCACAACGCTTTCTCTTTCTTTTAGGGTTACCTTACCCATGTGCCCGTGTTGTCCGCGTTTTGTGAGCTGCTGCTACGTGCTTCCACGACGACTCGAGCAAATGGTGACGCGACAAACTCAGTACGACGCCCGCTTTAAAAGGAGTGCAATTATGATGGCTGAGGAAATCGGAAACTCTGCCGTGGCTCGACGGGTAGATGTGACAGAATCGACTATCCGTGGGGGGAGGCTCCAGCGTGAAGTGCTTTTCAAGTGTGAACCTGGCCAAAATGGCTTCCGCGGACCACGTTGTAGTACTTTTTAAGGTACTTTTTTCTCCTCACTTAACTCTCGCTACATTCGTGTTCTTTTTTTTTTTTCTTGCGCTGTGAAAAGTCGCCCCTCGCGTTACAATTGTGGTCGCGTTACATTTGAGTAAATACGATATTGTTTTTCTTTGTAAATTTGTTTTATGACGTTATTTTTCGATCTAGGCTGTTTAAAAAAAAAAAAGTCTTTCTCCTTTCTATGTGTCCTTTAAAGGGGTACTCCACCGATTTTTTGAGCTGCCTCAACTAACTATATTTTCTGACTCCCCGGCCTTTACTCTCTTCGGTATGCTATTCAGAATCTCGAAATTCATAATAGTTATTGCGAAATCGGCAAATGAAAATGATGCAAAAACCAACATTCAAATATAAGCGCGCTTTTCAGGGCCGTGACGTCAGTGGCAGGCAGGCTTGCCAGTCGAGCAAGCAGCCAAAAAATAGAATATGCCGATCATTTGCTCCGTGCTGGAGCGCGGGTACTGCAGCGAGCTTCCCAAGCATTCATTTGACACCATGAAACTGCTTCGAATCAGTTTAAAACAAAATCTACAGCCCAAAGAGTGAACCCCTGCCTTCCACTGAAGTCACTTTTTCACTGTTGCCAGTAGAGACTTCGAGCTTGAAAAACACGGTGAGGACCAAAACTGTAAATTCAATAACTTCGCGAAAAAACAATATTTTGACCTAATATTTGGGATACTATTTTCGCGATGTTTGTTGGTTAGTTTAGCAAAATTTCAAGCAAATCGGAGACAATGAAAAAATCGGTGGAGTAGCCCTTTGAAGGATGACCACAGCACATACTTTTGAACCGCTTGCCCCAGCTTTATGAAATTTGCAGGGTATATTCCTGACACTGCAAGACGATGCCATGCGCATTTTGAGTTTCTTATATTCGTCCTATGACGAATTGCATCAGAATACGTAAGACAAAAAGACCACCCACTGAGAAAACTTGTTGTTGCAAAACGGTGGGGAAAATGATCAGTTCATTTGGTGAAACATGAAGTAAAACACCTATGTCACGTGGCTGTGTAAAAAAATCTATAAAATTATAAATTTCTAGTAACAAAAAAAAGGTGAGGAAAAATTATTTTCTTCTTCTCTGCATTATGCCCGAAAATCTGAACTTATCATAGCAACTGAGCACAAAATCCACCGAAACAAGTTTGTAGCTGCGTTCCTTACAAAATTTCAATTAAGAAACTCCAAAAACTGACTACAGATGTGATTCCATTGTGAAATTATTTTCTGAATTGGGATTGGACGCGAAAAAAAGAAATCCAGAAAAATATGTCTAAAATTTCAAGGTGACTTTTTTTAATGACAAAAATAATCCCTGGAGAAGGGGAACAATCAAACGCTTACATCTTTGCATTTAATTGCTCTATAATGACGTTTTTTTATTTTATTTTTCTTCCTTTGCACTTTTTAAGGCAAGACACTGGTTCTAAAATCGACTTTTTTGTTTATGAATGGATTATAATGAAAATCAGTGTGTATATGTGTTTTAGCTTCATCTTTTCAAATATTCAATTAGTTCTGCAATATCTCAATTACTTTTTGAGTTACGAAGAAAATAATGAAGCCTAATTAGGTCATTTCTTACGACTCATTAAGGAACTTTCTAATACTAATTTTTTTGCAAAAGTGATATGGATTTGTAGCTAAAGACCTGCCATGCAAGATGATGCTATTTATATTTTTGTAAAGATAGATCATTGTATAAAACTAGTCTAATTAGGTCAAGTACACTATTTACAGAGCTTAACGAGGTCACATTATCACTAATAATAAAATTTCGGGCCCAAACTGTCATACAATAATAGCATCACCCTGCAGTTCACTTCTTTCTGAATTCAAGGGTATAAAGTTTATAGAAATCCTTGAAGAATAATCTCATGAAAACAACCGTAAGGCTAGGCATGTAGACGAAAAATGCGAAGCTGAGAAAATTGCAGTTGAAGTTTTGACACTCATTGCATAAGATTGAGTAAGGGATCCCATGCAATAATGTTCAGCAATATGAAGCATAGTTCTATCTGAACAAATTGAGATGAAAAATTCTGCAATCCGTTCACAAGAACCTTTAAAAAATAATATAAAACTGAGAAATAATGTCTGAAAGTAAAATAAAGTTATAAAAGAATGAGTAGACTCTATAAGGGACAACGGGAGGAGGCACCAAGGGTTGCACGTTCCGAAAGCAGATCTTGTTTGGCCCTGAAAAGGGCCTTTGTTCGTGTAGCACTTGAAAGGGGAGACCCCTCACAGCTGTCCAGGACTGTAGTCCCCAGCTTTTCCAGTTTCCGCAGCTTCCGCACTTCGCCTGCGCGAAGAGGTCGTTGAGAGCTTTCATGTACGTCCACTACATTGAACTGTGTCCCAGCGTCACGCGTCTGGCCTCCTGTGGTGACGCCGAGAAGGTCGAATTTGCGCTGGGTCGCCGACTTTTCCGATAGCGCACGCTTGCATTCGTCCGATCGTGCGACTCGTTGCGCCTGCTCGGCCGTGGAGTAGTATGCGGTGTCGACACGAATCGCGCTCGCAAAGCTCGACAAACCGCCGCTGCTGCATGGAGTCGCGATGTCTCCGGCTGATGTTTCCGGAAGATCCAAGGCATCCGGCGGTGCCGATCGCGGTGGCGCACTTGCAGCAGACAGCTTCGGCTTCTTGTTCCACGGTCGCTTCCTCTTCCTTCGAAACGCTTGCCGCGTGCTCGATTTCAACCGAGCGTCGTCCGGCATCTCGACGACTCGAAGTGAAACAAAACAAAACACGCACGACTTCGTAGGAAAACGAACCAACAATGTTCAACGCAAGCGCGCAAACGGGAACTAAAACATGCGCTCGACCACGGAAGAAACAAAGCAGACAGGCCTAAGGAGACGGGCGGAGACGGGCCCAGGAGCAGACGACGCACCTCTCGCCAGCGCGGGAACGGAAAGGAGGAAAGGAGAAAAAGAGCGGAGGGGCGCGTTTAGGCCAATAGCAGGGGCGCTAGGCGCCGCGCGTGCTCTGACGTACGGGCACCTTGCTAGCCGGCCAATGAGCGATCGCAATTGGGGCCTTCGAAACCCGCGGAATGCGGACGTTTCCCGATATTGTCGCGATAATGAATGGCATGGGGACGTGGGGAAAATAAGCGGCTTTCCAACAAGACCAAGATGGCCGCGATCCGACGAGCGATCGCGAAACGTGCGGGGCGCGAAGTTTCACTTGTTTTCATTGAACTCGCTGTGTTAGGGCTCTGCGGGGACATCGTAAATATAATTTTTTTCATGCTTAGACATTGAATTCGACATTGAAACTTTGCAGGCAGGTACCTTAGACTACAATTAATCCAAATATGTGAATTTTGAAAAACGTGAAATTTCGCGTTTTTTGACCATTTTAAGACCCGCGTCTCCCCTTAAGAAGCCAGCAGCAGCGTATGCAACCCCTTCAGCGTGAATCCTCTTCTGCTCCTTTGCAATTCCTTCCACCTCTTTGTTTGTGGACGACCTTGGAGGAGTCGAGTGTCTTTGCCTTGGTCCTTGTGATCTTCAGCTCGGTTGCTTTCCTGGTGTGCTCCACACGGTGGCTTTTAGGCTCTATGCCCATCTTGTCAAGCACCCTCTCGAAGCCCCGTGGACCTAGCTTAAATTCAAGGACTGCCATTGCAACGGCGGTTTTCACAGTTTCTACAGTAGCGAGGAAACTTTCTGAGACGACGAAGTGAGCCGAGATGCTCCGACACGTCAACCATTTCTCCTAGTGCCCCAGCGCAAGAGTCGAGCAGTGTGCTGGTACAAAGCGGCGGAACTTGACGCCAGAACACCAACGCGAAGTGGCGAAGTTTTACATGAGAAGTTGGGGAAATTTTGAGACAACATTTATATTTCTTGAAAGTTCGAAGAACTCCAGTTTTTCCAATGTTACAAATGTGCTACGAATCGAATCGAACGCCGAACACGATTCGCCAATAATTTCGAAGTTTCGAATATCCACGCACATCTGCTCGTCTGTCGCTTGGGTTGCCGTCTTTATTTATGCTGCACGCATTTCTCCCTGACTTTTGGTGCGTTGTTCCTCTCTGCCCTGGGAGAGTTCGAAGTGGTAACGCCGCCTCTCCGGGCTTTCTCACAGTTCTGGAGCAGGACAGCTCCATCAATGCTCCGGACCCCACCATCACCGAGGAGGAGGACATGCTCCGGCTGAAGCTGTCCCTCAAGGGGCTCATGAAGGACCTCAACGCTGTGCACAAGCTTGCACTGTTTCGGTGACCGGAGTCTTCACTGCAAGGGCAGCTGATCTGAAATCCGTGGTGATAGTTTGGAGTGTCTTCCACTACGAGGACGGCCGAGCTGAACTCCGTGGTGATTGTTTCGAGTATCTGAGTTTTCGCTGCAAGTACAGTTGATCTGAACCCTGTGATTCTTTGGAGTGTCTTCTACATGGAGGCCGTGTCCACCACATACTGCATTGCGTGCCGTTATCACCGGTAACAGTTGGTTTGTTTGACGACTAGTACTGGGGGCAAGTGCTTTGGCATTGCGTGGGCTAGACGGTATGTGAACTTCAGCCTGTATTTGAGATCATTGTGCCGTGCTTTACAGTAAACTAGTAGTGTGATGCATGATTTTGACTGAAATGTGGCTGTGAATTAGTCCATTTATGGCCCTCTTTGGACGTTGGAGTTAATTACTTTCGTGGGTATCAATTCTCTGTTCAGGTTGTTTCATGAAGTGGGCTTAGTAAAGGTTAGTAGAATGAGCAACACTGGCACATACACATTAGAGGAACATGGCTTTTGTTTATGCTTTACCTGGGAACTCCTATATTTTCAGTTAAATCATGCACCACTTAAGACAGTTCCAAAGCCACTTAATGTAATGGACCGAGAAATGCATTCATGCAGTTCATTTAGAGGGGTGCAGTGATCCTTTGCGCCTGTGCTGTAGCTGACGGTTTTTTTCCTCTAGGAATGAGAATGCATGACTCGCACTTACCAAAGAGCTTTTAGGGGCGTGTCGAAGTTTCATGAGACTTTTTTTTGTTGCTGTTTGTGTCCTCAGAAAGAAAAGATTTAAAACCGAGAGATTTTGGTAAAACTTGTGTTTGGAGTCATACTTGCCAACGTGTGCAGATGGTGGTTGGCGTGATACGAGCCCTCTACTGTTTGCAGTAGCTTTGGTTACATAATGAGTGGTTTTGGGAGCACTGCAGAGGAAGTAGTACATTCATTTTGGGTTGGGTGTAAAATATTGCCTATTATGTTGATGTATGTCTCAAATTCCACAGAGCTACTATTGTATATAGTATGTATTCTAGCTTGTAATATTTACTTTGTAGTGTGTGAGGCTTGTATGTTTTTACTACCTGCCACGTTGCTGGTCTAATAGTTTCTGTTAACATAACCCTTTCATTGTCTAGGTACAAAATTATTTTTGTTCTATTGTCTTGTTTCACATTATATGACAGCTCTGCTTTTACTTAATGGCTGGGCTCAAGAAATACCTTATTCTAGCAATGTTTGCTTCATTAAAATACCCAGTTGAGTTTTATTTTGAAACCTTGTAAACCAAGTTGGCATCATCCCTAAATCATGTCATTGCAACCTTCATCTCCTGTAATAAAAGCTATCTTTTTGTTTTTTAATGGAGTAACTTGCATGTTCATTTTACTAGAGAGAACTTGTTGTTTATGTTAGTCTTTCGACAAACAATGGCCAAAATTTTCCTGCCATAGCTATACATCGCATGAGTCGGCTTTCCAAAGGAGGTGTGGACAAGATGGAGATAACCAGCGATAACAACTTCTGGAAGTTGCAGAAAAAAAAAATAACAAAATTGTTCGGTCCTGCTGAACAGGTTATAACTGGGCAGACTTTTAGTGACCAATGTGGCCACATTCATTTACAATGGAAGACAAATGGAAGACAATATACAGGAGAAGAAAAACTTTCAGCCTTTCCACTCTGGTGAAGAGGCAGGCATGTAGCCAGGATTTCGTTTCGGGGGGGCCTGCCCATGACAAAACGCTGTATGAGGGGCAGGGGGGAGAGGAGGTCCTAGCAAAATGGAAGATTTTGGGGCGGGCCCAGGCCCATGGGCTCCCCCCCTTCCCCCCCCCCCCTGGCTACGTGCCTGTGAAGAGAGAAGAGCAGCGGAGCTGTAGCTTCTGTTCTGGGCGGTGGCTTTACAGACGAGCGATCTGCTCTTCTTTTGCAAGGGAATCTGAAGCGCTCAACACAGTGGAACTTTAGGTGATAGCGGCCTCGCAGCGGTTGTGGAACCATTCGAGCTGTTGCGCACATCGCCTTCATTCCGTTCCCGCTCTTCCTCCAAAGAAATGTTGCCGCCATCTATGAGCGACGGCGACAAATTGACAACCCGCAAACACAACAGCAATGGTGGCAACCAGACAACCGGCAAACGCAGCAGTGAACAGCTACTGCCATCTATGAGCGACGGCGGGAACCTGAGTGTTGTGTCGACATTTGTTTGGTACCAGACACGATCCTGGAAAAACAATCCCTTAACAGTTACTCCGTAAAAAAACTTGCATTAAAAGTATAAATCCTCAACCCTTTTTGGTCCCAGAGCCGAATCTCCTCGAGAATTCTTGTGCTTTTCGTTTATAGGCGTGGAAGGGATCTCCCTTTCTCTCTAACCAGCACACACTCGGACCTCGAGATCCGAATCTACCTCGAGACCCAAATCTACAGCACTGAGCACTCGCGGCCTTCGTGACCGGACACAGCACATCCTGAGTGCGGACGTGAGCAAGCTCGGGTGCTTCACGGCGAGGTAGGCTCACGTGTCCTATACCATGGTAGAATACATGCCCAGACCCAGTTGCATTCAGAGGTCAGCATTTTAGGTGGCCTCACTCACCCTCACTCTCACAGCCACACTCACCCTCATCCTCACAGCTACACTCACCTTCAGCCCCTCACTCACCTCATCCTCACAGTCACACTCGCCTTCAGCCCTTCACTCACCCTCACTGAACCTCACAGCTCTCACGCACTCATGGCCCTCACGCACTCACCGCCCTCATGGCCCTCGCACCCCTTACGCCCTCATGGCCCTCGCACCCCTTACGCCCTCATGGCCCTCACGCCCCTCACTCACTCGTGGCCCTCACGCCCCTGACGCACTCACCGCCCTCACGCCCCTTAAGCGCGATCCAAACCAACGCTTCTTTTTGCGCCTGTAGGTCGTGCGGCTGCGGATGTGACGTATTTTCGTGACGTCGCGCCGCTTCTTCGCTCCTTCCGGGCGCGCACAAGAAAGTTGGTTGATTTCAACTTCTTTCTCAACGCGCACAAAAACGCGCGGTGACGTGTAGGGCGCTCCTGTGTCCCGGCCAATCGGTGGAGGGCAAGCTAGTTCCGGCTCCACGTTTCTCGCCGTCTGGCTGCCCTCTCCTCCCCCCCCCCCCTCTCTTCCAACATGACAACGCGATCTCTCTCTCTCTCTTCCTCTAGCCGTCTGGCCGGCCAGTCTGTCGCAGTTGCACCTTGCTTGTGCGCTCGTGCCTGCGTGCGCGCGTGCCTGCTCGCCCGAAGTTTCGCCCGTCCAAACCAAAGCGCACGGTTCTGACTCAGAAAGCGCGCCCGGAAACAGCAAAAACGCCACGAAATGCGTCACATCCGCAGCCGCACGACCTACAGGCGCAAAAAGAAGCGTTGGTTTGGATCGCGCTTTACGCACTCACCGCCCTCACAGCCCTCACCGTACTCATACCCCTCGCGCCTTTCACGCACTCACGGCACTCGGGCCTGCTTCAGATGGGGCAATTTCGCCCAGAAACTTGACGTCGCAACACCAGCAACAGGGGCCACCCGCATTCACACCACGGTGTAGGAAGGCTCTTCCGTGGTTCACATGCAGCAACCAAATTCTGCAATTCGCCATCATCATCATGAATTTTTATTTTTCTTGCACTATTTAGACACAATTACGCGCTATAAACGTGTTTTTTATGCATTTAAGTCTCGTTGAGAATACTAATGCATCTTTCTGAAACAGTTTATTTCCAAAAACGATCAATTTCAAACCAGAACCAAGTCTTTTGTTGTCATCATCACCGGCACGAGGTATCACGTGAAAACATCGCGTCCCTGATTGGATGCGGCCGCTTCAAACGTCTTCGAATTGCTCCGAGTTGCTCGCTTGTTTCGAGCCGGACCCGATCTCAGCGATTCGTGTCGATCTGGGGAAAGCTAGGGAACAAACCGCCAGCAATACCGAAATTGCTGAGAAAGTCGCTCCATATGAAGGGGGCCTCACGCACTCACCGCCCTCACGCACTCATGGCCCTCACACCCCTCACGCACTCGCCGCCCTCACGGCCCTCACACCCCTCACGCCACTCATGGCCCTCACGCACTCACAGCCCTCACGGCCCTCATACCCCTCACGCCACTCACCACCCTCACGCCCCTCACGCACTCATGGCCCTCACGCCCCTCACGCACTCACCGCCCTCACGGCCCTCACAGCCCTCACTCACCCTCACACATAAATTTTCCTGATTCCAGAAACTCACTCACCCTCACCTCACCTGTGAAGATGAGGGTGAGTGAGGGCCCTAATGAGTGAAGTTTGCCGAGGTATGGGTGCATTACGAGTGCCTTCGTGAGGGGACACCTGTGCCTGATGGCGAGCTGCTTTCAAATATATGATTCCATGTTTTGCGTACCGAAGGTACAAAGAAAAGAAACAGCCAACTGCACTGCTTGTAATACATTACTATGCGAGAGACGTAACATGACACCCCGGGAGAAACTTCCTCGTCCAGATATCCGTAGAGGAGGAGGAGGAAAAACGAGAGCTCGTTCACTTCAAAGGGAAGCTGCCACGAATAAATTAGTACTCTGCGCCCTTCGGCAGAGTAGAAGAAATCACCCATAAAGCGTGCGCAAAGAGCACACAAAAAAAAAAAAAAAATCCTCGAACTTAACAGCATGGAAACATGAATGGTGCCATGTCAGTCGCAGCCAAGGGGTCGGTGTAGAGGGGTACATAGTATTTAAAATAATGAATGCTTTAAAACTAGTTTTACATAACTAAATTTTGATGCAAAAATACTCCAAAAGCAGAGAGATCATAATTAAAATAAGAGCACCGACTTGACAACAGAAAAAAATTCATATCATTGATTTGTAAAAATAAACATATATCAGGAAACTTGCTGAGCTTTATTGAAAACCACTACATCCTAAGCTTTAGAAAAACTTGAAACACCTGAGAAGGGCTGTGGTGTGCAAAAGTTGTCTCCTGCTACAGGCATAATGTGGATGCTTGGGCTAGTTCAGAACGGCTCTGGGCTAGTTTGTAATTCAAGCTTGGGTGAAACAGCGCAGATATAGAGTCGCACTCACAGGCACACAAGAAAGAAAGACTCGCAGCGCTGACTAACAACTCGGTGATATGTTTCTTCATCCTCAAATCATCCTCTTCTCCTTCGCCGTTAAAGAGATTAAATTTTTAAACACCAATTACCAATAAAAAATGATAAAAAAAAATGTAAATGACAACTAAGAATTAAATTAAAAAAGTATATATTTTTAATATTATTAGAAACTAAATAAAAATAAATAAATTAAAAAATAAAACAAAAAATAAATACAAATAATAAAAAAAAATTCCATCACTATTGGTGCTTTGATGTTATCTCGAGATAATCCAATTCCTTCTTTGATAAAGCTAAGGATGGGACATTGACGCATTCCTTGTCCAACCTGGCTTTTTTTCACCTTCGATAAGTTCTCGTGTCAGCTGGTTTCCACTTCTGGCAATAACGGCGCAGTTACTCAAGTCCGGTGAGCACCCGCGGTCCCGGCAATGGATGCCTAGATTCCCTCAGATTACTCTGTTTATGTTATAGTGACGTTGTCGTAACCGGTCATTCAGACACCTCCCGGTTTGCGCATGGAGTTGGTCGAAAATTAGTGATCACTAGGGAGCTGAAGGAACACCGTTCCCATGATTCCCTGACTGTGGGCATGGGGGCTTGGGAATATAGCAAATGGTCTATTAGAGCGCAGCTCTTGAGGAGGAGAAGGGGAGGGTACTGAGGGGAGGGTATCCCCCTCCTCATCCTCTTCTCCCTCCTCATCTCCTCCTCCCTTCCTCCTCCTCTTCCCCTCTTCCTCCCGAGTGGACGTTTCCCATAATGCAACGCGCGGGTCACGAGTGAGAGCCGCACGTTGCATCAAGGGACGTTTCCCATAATTCAACGCGCGGGACCCTCGTGACGTCGCTATGGGAAACGCCCCATAATGCAACGCGCGGGTCACGAGTGAGGCTTGCGCGTTGCATTCTAGGACGTTTCCCATAACGGACCGCGCGGTTACGCCGAAGGCGACACCGACGCCACTCAAGCCGGAAACGGGCGCCTAAGAGCTGCTCTCTAAAAATAAATACTGATAATAAAAATAAAAATTCCCCATCGCTATTGGTGCTTTGATGTTATCTCGAGATAATCCAATTCTTTCTTTGATAAAGCTAAGGATCGGACACTGACGCATTGCTTGTCCAACCTGGCTATTTCTTCACCTTCGATAAGTTCTTGTGTCAGCTGATTACCACTTCTGGCAATGATAGCGCAGTTACTCAAGTCCGCTTAGCACCCGCGGTCCCGGCAATGGATGCCTAGATTCCCTGAGATTACTCTGTTTATGTTATAGTGATGTAACCGGTCATTCAGACACCTCCCGGTTTGCCCAACATATTTACCGCATGAAAGGGGAATTGCATAAACCACCCCTTCAGAGCACGGAACAAAACGGGTGTGATGTTTTTTATACAACCTTATAAGGCTCTGTCGGAGGATGAATTGACTTGTTTACATAAACTAGAGAGCTTGTATGGAGCAAGGAATGCTACGTTGACATTGACGTGGTCGCCTGTCTTTTTAAGACCATGAGAAATATGGTGAATATAAGGCACAACCGCTGGCTTTTGGTTTCGGTTCCTTTTTTTTACATTCGGTAAAATCGGGCTTTTTAATTTTGCCTTCAGATACACAACGTTCACTTTCTGCTTTTGGAGCACGCCTTGACACCTGCCTTACCAAAGGGAGGAGTCCTACCGTCCTACCGGCAGACAAAGGAGGAGGTTTCGTGAATATGCATGAGGCTACGTTTGAAGAAAGAGCCTTAGCTGCGATTGACTCTTTATTCACAAGCCACATTGACGTTTCGTTAGTTATAGTAAAAAGTGAGGCCAAGAAAATATGAAAGGAGCTCGAGAGAATATGAAAGGAGGTCGATCTCAACCATCGACGGAAACAAAAATTTAAGTCTACAAATTATGTTTAGTGCGAAAACGTATAAAATTAATTGTCCCTTAAGAGTAATAGTGTCGGAGATGGGGACCTGGCTGAAGTCTGTCGCCTTATTTTTACAAGAGAAGCTCAATTGGTTAACAGTTGACGACCCTTTCTCGTTAAACAACTCACATGAAGTCGTAAGGTTCTTAAATGAACACAACAACAATTACTTTGAGACCTTCTCCATTGACATTAGGTACTTGTATTAGGCTATACCCCAAGAGCGACTTTTAATGTGCATTGAAACCCGCATTAACTCTTTCGGCATTATCGCTCTCCAAAATGCTTCAGGAATGTCCCAGGGTGGTTTTCTTGAATTGCTTACAGTGTACCTAAAATCTACTTTCACCACGTGAGATGGAAACATCTACCGGCAAACTAAAGGTGTTTGCATTGGATCCTGTATTGCGCCTCGTCTTAGTGACCTGTACTTAACACATCAAGATAAAATCCTACAAACGTTTTGACACTTCAAAAGTTGTAAAAGTGTTCCGCTATGTAAGTGATTTTTTTTTTCTCTGCTCTTGATGGAAACGTCATTTCAGGCGCTGTATCCAATATCCTCTCGATATTTAAGAACTGTTTGGATGCTTTGGACTTAGCCCATGAACTTCCGGTTGAAGAGTCTCTGAGGTTTTTAGAACTCAAGACTGTTTTTTCTTTCTCATCGAACTTGTTGGTCCTACGCTCCGAGGGTGAAAAAGCCACTCATCCACTATTAACCGGCCCATTCCAAATTAGTTGACAAATTAACAAGGGGCACTGAAGTCGATTCTGAGATCCTTCTTTTGTGGTGACAACTCAATCTAGACGCTCTAAGCATCCTAACAAACCCGAAATCACAATCGTGCGTAGCTTTTATTTCCTTGTTAAATGCGTGTTCAAAGATCGCAACACGCCCTTTTTGGGAAAATTTTTCTTCCGAGTGAAGTGGTCGACAAAGGGCGCTTGTCGGCCAGTTGCAAGAGATGGCTTCACCCGCGGAGAAAAACAGGAGCCTTATCCGAATGTGTACATATCAGACTCTCTTTGAAACGAGTTGTAATAAAATCATTCGGAATCTGCGCGTGTTGCAGGGCTTTCATTGGCCCACACAATGTAGTCCGCGAGATGAAAGAGTCCACATGTTTTCTTTCTATTGCCCTGAGATGAATATGCGATTTTGTAATATAGGACGTGGTATGTGTGGGAACTCACATATTTTAAACATTATAAGATCAAAAATGATATTTTTTCAAAAATAACTTCAGTACCCATTTAAGAGTGGCGTAGTGAACCTATGCCTAACAAATTCCATGAAAAAGTCATGTCCGCATACTGTAAAAACTAGCTTTGACGCGGAGATAGCTAGGCTACTATCAGGGGGGTATATCATCTCGCAGAAAAACTCCTTCAGAAAATTAAAAATCCCGAATTAACCCAATGCAAGAAAAGGAACCGAAACCCAAGGCCAGCGGTTGTGCCTTATATTCACCATATTTCTCGTGGTCTTAAAAAGATAGGCAACCGCGTAAATGTCAACCTAGTATTCTCTGTTGCATACCAGCTCTCTAGCTTATGTAAGAAAGTCAATTCATCCTCCGATTGAGCCTTATAAGGTTTTATAAAAAAGCATCACACCCGTTTTGTTCCGCGCTCTGAAGGGGTGGTTCATGCAATTCCCCTATCATGCGGTAAGCAGTATGTCGGGCAAACCGGAAGGGTGTCTGAATGACCGGTTACGAGAACATCACTATAACATAAACAGAGAAATCTCAGACAACCTAGGCAACCATTGCCGGGACTGCGGGTGCTAAGCGGACTTGAGTTACTGCATTGTTATTGCCAGAAGTGGTAATCAGCTGACACGAAAACTTATCCAAGCTGAAAAAATAGCCAGCTTGGACAACCAATGCGTCGGTGTTTCATCCTTAGCTTTATCAAAGAAAAAATTGGATTACCTAGAGATAACACTGGAAAAATTTTATTTTTATTATTTATATTTATTTTTTATTTCATTTTTCTTTAGTTTATTTTTTAATTTATTTTCTCAAAAATTAAAAAAAAATATTTTAGTTGTCATCTTTTATTTATTATTTATTTATTTATGTTTATTGGCTATTTGGTTTCTGGTGTTTAAAAATACAAAAATGTTCTCTTTTCTGTTCCTTTCTTGTGTGCCTGTGAGTGTGACTATATCCGCGCTGTTCTATCCTTACAGGCATACGGCTGGCGGAGCAAAAATGTAGATAACAAGCAAAGGCTGTAAGTGCCTGCTAAATTCCGGTGCATTTTTAGAGACCAGAAAATCAAAGCATACTCTGTAATTTTCCTAAAATTGCTTTTTCATCATCCCCAATAATTTTTCAATTGGGGCTTATATCTCTGTCTTACAAATAAAAAGTTATTCAAAACCAATTAAAAGGCTTAATTATTCTAAGGTAGTCCTCCTTGTAAGGTAATCACTTGACTGTGATTATTAAGCTACCAATCTTTCTATCGGATGCAAACTTTTACTCTTAATATTTCGGCTGATATTCGGTGAAATATTCGGTGAAATATTCGTCAAAATTATGTCCTATAGGCCTTTTATATTTTTGACCAATTTTGCATGATGCAAATCTTTTTTTTTCTTCTCATAAACAGCTTTCTCTTAGTCTATCTTATGAAGTCTTCATGATCTTAGGGGCAACACTTGGCTTTTGCTATTCACTCATTGCATTGGTTTTAATGGCACTAACCTATGAAGGCGATGGAGTGCCAAGAACTCAACATAAGTAAACCTGAGAAACAAGGAGAAACAAGGCGTGTAAAATGGACACACAGGTTTAGAAGTAAAAGCCGCTCACCTGCGCGCTCATTCTTCTGGCCTATACTGTTATTTCTTTTTTTGCAAGTATATACTACAAAGAAAACAAGTGGTTTAACAAAAATTTATTAAAAGGGGCTTGTTGCATGATGGAGTACACTGGGATTGAAAGTCTGAGGGCAAACAAAACACTGGAACCAAAAGTAAAGCATGCCACTCTGGTCTATGAATACTACAGCGACCACAGACTGGCATGTCACGAAGTAAAATTCAACATGGTAAAATGCTTTTTCTTAAACACAGTCTTGTTTTTTACTCTTAAAAGATTTTGGGTAGGGCATAAGTGAGACAGCAAAGTTATGTTATTTTTGTTGTCACTGAAATTTTTACATTTAAGTGTTGTTGAGAAGGAAAATATTAATGTTAATAAAGATACATTCTCACTGGGATCAATATTGTAATATATTCTACCATTCTAGCAAGTATGGAGCAATGGTATAACTCAAAGCCATGACATGCTGAGAGGCATGATGTACGTGTTCTGACTCTAATCGTTCTGAGGGTGCCAGCCCTCCAGGCCTCAACTTCTTTCTAAGTTTTTTTTTTTTTTTTTGAAGTGGGGACAACACTTTAAAAGTACAAATGTGTTGCACAAGACCAACAATTTATTACAAACAAACGCAAGAGTACTCTGAAAAAATTGAACTCAAAAAGTTAATAAAAAAGACATCAGTGAGCATCTTAGTACATTGAAGGGACATAAAACAGTGCTCGATGATTTTCTGGCCAAGATGTGCTGAATAGAGAATGGCGATGTTCGTAAATTTCTCAGTATGTTCCCTTGCAAAGCGATGCTGCCAAAACGTTACATTTCGGCCATGCGATGAAATGGTTTTGCTATACAGAATGCCTCGCACACTGTGCGCTCTGTCTTGCAACTGTTCTTTCCAGACTGCACGTTCCTTGAAGAACCGTGGTTGTGTTGTGAGAGTGCTCGTGCAACCGACGCCACTTGCCGCTGGTTTCACTATTTTGCACCACATTTACTTCTATGGCTACTCCTTGACTATTATCGGTTTGTGACATTATAATATGTATATAAGAAGAAGGAACCTTAGTAGGACTTCCGTCCGCCTATTCATCTTTTGTTTGGGTAGTCAGACACAACCCTCAAAGCCTGCTTCATTGTCCCTTATGTACTCTCCATCCCAACTTTCTCGACGGCTGTCGGCAGTTGACAGACATTTCTTGAAGAAGCAACGGCCGGTACACATTCGACGAACACCTCGGGGGCTTAAGGGGAACCGAACAGTGCGTGGCGCAGCTTCAGCGTCCAGTTTGGGGGCTCAGTACACTTCTAACCGCGTGATGCTGTTCCATAGCCGCATGAGTCCGTAGCCTTGCTTCTTGTCCTTCTTGACCCGCTTGCTCTCGTCGACACCCATGAGGTCGTGGGACATCAGCAGGTCCCGCAACTCCTCCAGCTTCTTGATCCAGGCATCTGTCAACCAGTCGGCCAGTCAGAACATTTACAACGCGACACTCCTCTCCCCATTTCCAAGGGCAGACCGCGTGTGAAGTGATATACGCTGAAGAGAAATTAAGTGCGTAAACGGGCTGTTTTAATTGGAAAATAATTATGAAAAAGCGCTAAGACTGAAGTAAATAAGGGACAGGACATACATAGTCTCAAGACTTCGTGTTTGTCCTGTCTTTTAGTTTACTTTAGTAGTCGCGGGGTTTTACATTATTATGTCTCTTGAACCCGCGCGACACTGGATAGAGCCGATAGGGTATTCGCGACTCCAACTAACTATAGGTGGATAAATCTTCAACTTTGAATCTCTAACCAAGCTTTATTAAAAAGCAAAAATCCCGACGTTTCGGAACCAACTCGGTCCCTTGATCACGGGTGACTGTTTTTGTCCCGCGGAACGGCCTGCCTTCGAGAGAGCACTCTCGAAGGCAGATTCTTCACGAACTTCACTGTCTTCGAGAGTGCTCTCTGAGACCGAGACGCGTGTTCTGGCAAAGGGAAAGAAGTTCAACCTAACCACAACAACGCCGCCTATTGCTTCGATGGCAGCTGCTGTCGAATATGGCCTGCGTGAGTTAGACCCCTGCATCCGTAAAGAAGCTCGCCTCATGGCCATCGGCGTGCTGTCCAAGGCGCACCGACGGGAGCAGTTAAATTACACGCCGGAAGAGAAAGCAGCCATTCAGAACTTGAGAGAGGACAAGAGCATCGTCGTCCTCCCTGCCGACAAGGGGAACGCAACCGTGCTACTCGACCGCGCGGACTACGATGAGAAGGCGCTTCAGCTTCTCAACACCGACGCATACATGATTCTGCCAAAGGACCCGACTGCCAAGATTCAGGCAAGTCTAAACAAAATGCTCTCTACGATTTTTGATGGGTATCCCGAGTCCCGAGGCCTTTACTTGGGTCTCATTTGCCGGAACGGTTCAGCGCCGGCCTTTTATGGCCTGCCGAAGGTGCACAAGCCAGATGTCCCCCTCCGACCCATAGTGGATTTCACCACGTCTCCGTTACGTGCATTGTCCAACCATCTCCACCGACTGCTGTCGCCTTTAACCGGGAAGACCGACACGTGCGTCCAAAATTCTGGACACTTCATCGAGCTCACATCGGGCCTCGAACTGCGGGACGACGAGAGCCTTGTCTCCTTCGACGTCGTGTCGCTTTTCACAAGTGTGCCTGTGCCTCTCGCAGTGTCTGTGACGCGGGAGGCCCTCTCGTCTGACACGAGACTCTCCGAAAGAACGTGCCTTGAGGTGGACGAGATTTGCCGTCTACTGGAATTCTGCCTATCCAGCACTTATTTTTCGTTTGCTGGCCGCTTATACAGACAAACCATGCAGTGGTACGGCTATGGGTGCTGCGGTCTCCGTCACTATGGCAAACCTCGTAATGGAGGCGATCGAGAGAAAAGCCCTGGACACTTTCTCCCCAGGACCCGTGTGTTTCCTGCGGTATGTCGATGACTGCTTTTGTGTTGTGAAGACCAGTGAGATCGACCGTCTCCACACACATCTAAACTCCATCGAGCCAGCGATTCAATTCACGATTGAGCACGAATCAGATGGTTGTCTTTCTTTCCTAGACGTCTGTGCAGTGAGAAAGTCCGGCCTCCTGGACTTCCGTGTGTATAGGAAGCCGACACACACAGGCCGATACCTGGACTTTTCCTCAAGCCACCCTAGGACACATAAGTCTTCCGTGGCTTCGGCACTCGTCAGACGGGCGATCACGGTCTGCACATCAGAGGAGACCCTTCGAAAAGAGATCGAAACGATCAAACAAGACCTGCGGAAGAATGGCTACCCAGCTAGATTTGTAAAAAGCACGATCAAAAAAATTCGACGCACCCCCTCAACCCAAGACGCCCCCCCCCCCCCCCCCCCCTCCCTCCACCCGCGTGTGTGTACCCTACATCAAGGGCACAAGCGAGGTTCTCGCCCGAGTACTGCGAAAGTACGGCATAGCGGTATCACACAAGCCAGTCTCGACCATCGGCGGCCTTCTCCCCCTGCCAAAGGATCGCCCCCCGAGGGAGAGGGCGCAGGACTGGTTTATAAAATTCCCTGCGGTGACTGCCCCGCGTTGTACGTTGGGGAAACGAAAAACTATCCAGAGCGCCTGCGGCGCCACCGCTACGACATCGCGAAGAAAAATGTGGAGGGAAGCGCGCTGGCCGAACACGTCGAGAAGACGAACCACTCCATCGACCTTGACAACAGCTCCATCCTCGGAACGGAGAAAAACTGGCGGAGGCGCCTTCTGTTGGAGTCGTGGCATATTCAATGCACACGTGGCAACATAAACCGGTCGACGGGGACCCTTCCCAGCAGCTACGTTTCGGGGTTAAGAGGTCGCGGTACCTCTATTTATTCGTCCGTTTCAGCCACCAGATGGCGCGCGGCTCGAAACGTGGTTGAACGCGCAACTTCTAGATGGCGCCAGTATCGAGGTGTGAAAAGGCCCGCGTTATCCGCTGCGTGAAATAGATCCCGAAATGTGCCGTGTTCTCCCGGCGGAGGAAGTTTCTCCCTCCCTCGCGCGCGCTTGGTATGTACGCGCGGTGGCCGAGTCCGGCCTCTGCGCTGTGTGATGCAGTGGGTGGCGCTCGTTTCTGTTCGAAGGTAGGAATAAAAATGCCGGTCCCCTTTTTTACGACGCTCGTTTCTATAGCTTGTTTTTCTTTTTTCTTTTTTATCTCAAGTGACGTACAGTACCGCCTGTTCGAAATCGTCCTTTGCAGTGAGCGATTGAGAGTCAGGTTAGCATTTTATTTGGGTCAGCACTACACGTTCAATGGAGACCTCGGGCGGCGATGTAAATATGCATTGCTCCCCAAAGTGTGTCCAAGGCGCGCAATGACAATTGGAAAGGGTATTGAAGGCGCGCGACCGTCGGTTGGTAAAATACGTGCGTTAGATTCACTTATTCAGTCTAATCATTTTTGCCAAGGTCTTTTATCTGTTTCGACAAATGACATGGTCGAGTCTATTGATAACCTTAGCTAGATTGGACGTACGGAGTGTCCGGGCTTTGAATAAATTTGCTTCGTTTATGTGAATGAATAACTGTTTTCTCTTTTCCGTGCTCGGTGCTACGCAAAAATCGCTGAAATGTTATGGTAGCTCAGTGTGGCGGCGTTTTGCACGCTGACTCGCTATTGCATTCGCTGTGCACAATATGTGTTCAGATGGAATGTGCCAAATCGTGTTTCCGATCGATATGATAGATTTACTTTGCTACAGTGTTAATTATATTTTCCTTATTTAAACTGGTTCGTCCCTGATCTGAGCCTAAGTTCAAATTCGAAGGGCAGACAGACTTAGCGTCGTAACAGCCGTAATGCGCAGAAAGAAATTAGTACCATGAAAGAAAAACAAAAGGATACGAAGTGGCTCAGTGTTATAGAAGTAATGAGTGTGCAAAGGATGCCATCGTACGTGTTTTTTTGTTTTGTTTTGTTTTAACTCTCCGCATCGTTGGGAAACGCTCACGGTACCAGCAAAGACAGCGAGCTGGCGTGAAATTTCCATCGAGCGGAAAACGAGTGTCATTTTTATTTCATCATGCGCTTTCATTTTGATATGGCTCAAAATGGGCGCGAAATAGTAACAGGTAAGGCAACAAAATTTAGATGTTAGGCCTGGAGAACCGCCGTACTCAGCCGTGTTGGGGGCATCTCTCGCGAGTCAATACGGCAAAAGTATTGCGCGTCGAACTGTACGTGAGAGTTATCCATTTCAGCGAAACCTTGATTTCGCAAAACTATTGTGGCTCGAGTATTGGCTTCCAGTACTTGGAAGCCACGAGCGAGAAATAAATGACAGTTGATTTTGAAGGACAATCGCGACGTGGAAACCCATAAAAGAGAGTTCCAATAAGACGAAAGCTTCCCCTTCTCTTCAAGTGCGTGGGTTACGCTCTGAATCCTGCACCTGTGGTAACACTGCAGGCTCCTAAAATCGCCTTGAAAACGTTCCTGCTCGCAACAACTTTTTTTTTTTTTTTTTTTTTTTGTCGAGGCGCTATTTTATTTTTTTTTCTTTTTGTCTACCTTGATACCCCATCAGCGCAAAAACTACCATAAACCAAAAAAAAAAAAAAAATAGTGGCATACAACGACAGCGCACCAACTGGGACCCGAGTCAAGGCAAGAACGACCAACTACTACAAGGGGAAAAAAATCATGTTCGCATACACAGACAGAACGCCTCCATCGAAAGAAATGAATCATGCGCTTGTCCTGCCAGTCTCGTTGTGCGTCTGTCAAAAGCCACAAAGGAGGAAGACAATCAGCGCCTACACCACTCCCCTCCCCTCCCCCCCCCCCCCCCCCCCCCCCCCACCACCACCCCTAAAGAGAAGAAAAAAAAGGTTTCTTGGGCGCGCGCGCGGTCGCCCAAGCGATGACCTTGGAAGGGTATGCGATTGTAGCACGTTTGTCCCCCGGTTGTGCCCCTGTCTCAAATGCCACGGTCCGTTTCTCCCAAGTGCCCGTCTTATCTTCCCGAGTATCAACTCCGCAGTGATTCTGAATCATTCCGATGCTTTCCAACGTTGCAAAACTGTTAGACGAATATTTGCACAGAAGTATACACTGTTCGCAGAACTATCTCCGGCGCTAAAATTCAAAAGCGCCGTGTTGGATTCGGGAACTCGTGTAGGTTTAGCTCATTGTTGGAACATTCTTATTCGCTCGATGAACTCCACAAAACGTGTAAATATTAGAATGAACTTTCCAGAGAACGATAGTTGTTGTCGGGGTTCCAGGCGACCGGACAGGTCGCAAGTATTGGCTGATTAAAAATTTTATTTCATAATCACAATCGTATCATCAAGGGCACGCCATTTCCTCATCACTTCTTCTACGAAAAGAGTTGCTGTATTCGTAGCACACACAGACGGAAACGGTTGAGACTGTGCCCAAATAATATCATCTTTTGGCAGGTACTGCGCAGCGA